CAATGGGAAAAAAGATTTTTTTGAAGTGTAAAATACGAGATATAGACTAAGTACAGCTTAAAATAATGAAAGTCTATGAAAGAAGGGGACCTCGAAGGCTACCTAACTTCAAAATTTGGACACCAAAATCCCTAGGTCAAAATCTAGGTCAAATTCATAGTTTTTCCTTATTTTTGCGATTCTGACACTATATTTAAATGATTTGCTTCAAAATTTTGTATACAGGTAGGAAAGAGTGTGCTCATAGTGTTAGCCTTTTGCCGTCAGAAAGTATTTCGACCCACTTTTGAGATATGGTGTCCGAAAAGTAGGTCAAAATAAAAAAGTCTCAAAATTTAACATATGAGTTATGAATTTAGGGTAGAATTTTCTCAGGAATCCAAATCTGCAAACCAAATTTCGATCTGACTTCCTGTTCGGAAGTTATGGCATTTTGAAAGCTAAAAAACGCTAAATTTGGTGCCCCATGTTAAGTCAATGGGAAAAAAGATTTTTTTGAAGTGTGAAATACTAAATATAGACTGAATATGGCTTAAGATAATGAAAGCCTATAAACGAAGGGGACCTCAAAAGCTACCTAGCTTTAAAACACCTTTGGACACCTAAATGCCTAGGTCAAAATCTAGGTCAAATTTATAGTTTTAACTTATTTTTGCGATTCTGACACTACACTTTAATGATTTGCTTCCAAATTTTGTAGACAGGTAGCAAAGAGTGTGTTAATAGTGTAAGCCTTTTACCGTCAGTAAGTATTTTGACCCACTTTTGAGATATGGTGTCCGAAAAGTAGGTCAAAATAAAAAAATTCCAAATTTAACGTATGAGTTATGAATTAGGGGTAGAATTTTGTCAGGAATCCGAATCTGCAAACCAAATTTCGATCCAACTTCCGGTTCGAAAGTTATGGCGTTTTGAATGCTCAAAAATCGCTAAATTTGGTGCCCCATGTTATGTCAATGAGAAAAAGGATTTTTTTGAAGTGTAAAATACCAGATATAGACTGAGTACAGCTTAATATTCTGAAAGCCTATAAAAGGAGGGGACCTTGAAGGCTATCTAGCTTTAAAATTTGGACACCAAAATGCCTAAGTCAAAATCTAGGTCAAATTCATAGTTTTTCCTTATTTTTGCGATTCTGACATTACACTTTAAGGATTTGCTTCAAAGTTTTGAATACAGGTAGCAAAGAGTGTGCTTATAGTGTTAGCCTTTGTTAGTCAGAAAGTTTTTTGACCCACTTTTGAGATATGGTGTCCGAAATGTAGGTCAAAATAAAAAATTCTCCAAATTTAACGTATGAGTTATGAATTAAGGGTAGAATTTTCTCAGGAATCAGAACTTTTAAACCAAATTTCGATCTAACTTCTGGTTAGATAGTTATAGCGGTTTAAAGTCTCGAAAAGTCGATATGATGATATCCCCTTGTTAAGCCAATAGAGTCGAAGATAGCCTTCTTAAAAGTTGTCTAAATGTCTATATTCTAGCTGACTTAGCTTATTCTGAATGACTCAGCTTACAAGTTCTGGATGACTCAGCTTAAAAAAAGTTTGAAATCTAGAGTCTTAAATTGAACTTGTTCAATTTACATGTCTAGTTATTTTTCAAACTTGATAATCAACACTTTTGAATAATATAAATGCTGTTTTAAATTGGTTTCATGTATGCCAATAATTTATCAAATTGTGTAAACTGAACGCATTCTAAAATCCCTAGAATATTCTCTTGGAGGGATTTCCAATAGAAATCCAATAGAATAGTTCCAAACAGATCTTGAGACAGCAGCAAAGTAAATCTTTTATTGGGTTGTTTTAGTTTATATCGCGACCTGATTTAAAAAATGATTTTTTACTTCAAAAGGTCAAAGTAGGTCAACCGGAAGTTGGATCTCAATTTTGATTTCAGATTCTGAATCCAGAGCATATTTCCTAATATGATACCAATTTGGATGGATTTAGTAAAAAACGATTATGTGTTTATTATCGCTAATTTAATTTGGTGGCAGCAGTGGGATTTTTTGTGATTTCAAAAGGTCATAGCTCCTGAACTGGAAGTTGGATCAAAATTTTGATTTCAGATTTGGAATCCTGAGAAAATTTGATACCAATTTTGATAAATTTGGAACATCTTAAAAGTGGACTTCTTTTTGATTTTGATCTGAGACCTAGATAAATGTTTGAAATTTAAATCAAATCTAATCACTCATATTTGAACTTTACTTGAACTGTTTATGAAAAATGATTAGCTTCTTTGAGTGAAATCTGTCGACCAATATTTGAGTTATCACCCAGCCACAAATGGACGGGCAGATGGCTTTTCTATATTTATCTATTTATTTATATTTATCTGATTATCAAAAATCTTTAACTCAAATTGTGAAGAGAACTAATCCAAACAACACAAGACTGGAAAAGGGTGTATCACTGGAGAATGTAAATTGGTATTTCATTATATCAGTGCAAGTAATTACATTTTTTCATCTGAAATCCCAGACACAATAAAATAGCTAGGCATTAACATGCAAAATGTCACTACCTGCCATTTATTCCAGATGCTGACCACTGACTTCTTGACACCATTCACAAAAAAGTTGTAGACTATAGCAATGTCACCACTTGTGGTGGTGACATAACAATGAAGTATTTGTATTTATAAATAATTTAATTATTTATAAATAATGAATAAATAATAATTATAAAGCTAAATGTTAAATGTGTTTAAAAGTAAATGCCACCTAAAAGTGAGACAATACTTATGCATGTGTCAAAACCCAATTCTTATCAGCTTTTCAAAAATGTTTTATACTCTACATCAATGAAGTCAAGTTGACTTTCAATACAATATATTCAAAGTGCTATAACATAGTACACAGTCAAACACATTATATCTTTCACCAGGATCAAGAGTCTACCCAAAACTAAAAAATGATTTATGTTTATTTGAGAGTAACAAAAGACCATAAATATTGTTTATAGTTTACTTGCAAGATCTGAGTAACCTATGAGTCGGTGAATTATACAATTGTACTGTTATTGGTGTAAAACTGCTGGCTGTTTTGCTTTATTTTGGGATTTGGTTGCCTACATGTAATAGGAATCAATTGGGTTGTGTGTCAGTCAAACCTAAAAAGTAATCCAAATTGAATATCCAAAAATTGAAGACCACTGTGCAATATTATATGGAAAATACATTTTTTCATATTTTTCATGCAAAATGTTCGTATATCATGGATTACTGCTTTGTGGTTTGGCTAATAAATAGTTTGACCTCTTGTATTTCAATGCTTCTTTGACATATCATTTTCAAAAAACTATAGATTGAAACTCCTTAAATTACAAGAAACCACAGGTTTAATGCACATAAAACTCATTCATCTCCAACATACATGGTTTGGATCTAAAACATGAATGGTTTTTTTTTCAATAAAATATTTTTTGTATCTTTCAGATCTGATTGATGTACAACCATATTGATTCATATTTAATGAATGAACTCAGTGAACGTATTGTAAACAAACATAAACCTATAAGAGGAAATCACTAAAAGCAGAATCATTTAGAACAACATATATTTTGATTTACAAACATATAGTTCAATGCTGTTCTGTAGATCTCAATGGTAAATTTCACTTGTGTGTAATCACTTATTATTATATACTATAAACATTATATTTGTATTATGATCCCTAAAGAGATAAAGTAGTGTGACTCTCTAGGTGAAAAAAATGATTCATAAAAAAGCTTTTTTACTTGGCCTCGTACCAAACTAGAAACTACATATACTGTAAACTCACTACATGATATTCATGAGCAGTTCAAGTTAAGCAGACTTACATGAAGATAGATAAAAAGAGCTATGTCGATTCTATGGTCTATGGTTTTTAGCAAGGAATATATTTGGGAGAGCATTAAGACATGTTGCAAGTCGCACCTACTCAGAGGGGGAGGAAGTACCTCCAGTACATCTTGGTCAGAATGAAAGGATATTGTTCAGCATGGTAAGGCATGATTTCTTCGTTTATCTAAATGTCGAGAATATTGACATAAATCTTCCCTTCTGAAAATATTACAGCATCGAGCATTGAACATTTCATGCACACTTGATGATTTAATTAACTGTCTTTTAAGATTCAAAATGTTGCATGTAGCCCATTGCACTCTTTTCATTAACAAAATATTTCTTTCTTAACGTTTTACAAAAAAAAGAAAGTTAGAAAAAATCTATGGATGGTGCAAATGTAAGTAGTTATAATTTCTTAAAAGTGCGGGTATTGTTAGGGTCACATATGGAAATTGAACCTTTTAAAAGGAACAGAGGGGAATTTATCAAGATTCCAAAAATACAGGGTATTTTTAAGTATTTTAAAACTAGAGTTTTTATGATAATTAAACTTTCTATCAGATGAGTGAATGTCAAGAAAATTCCTTCCTCATTGACAGAGTTATTCTATGTATGTCTCAGTACAAATTTTTGGGTTGGCAAACTTGGAAAAATGGGTGATGGTACTAAACAGGTTTTTCTCAAGTTACATACTTGGTGAAACTCAGATGTCTATGACAATTGAATTGTCTGTCAGATGACTGTCAAAAAATCCTTTATCTCTCACAGAGTTATTCAATGTTTTGTCTTTGGTACAATTTATTTTGAGATACCCTGTAAATGCCTTAATGTGGTGCACCCCAAATGTAAACTTGTGATAAAAGCACATCATAAGCAATCCAAGAATTTTGCTAATGGGGGGGGGTGTACACATCTTAAACAACAGTCTCCATCATCATAGCTCGCATTGCATTCTTTACCTCTTTAGCCAGACTACATCTGAGTCTCCTCCTCCTCAGCTCCATTGAATAAATCCCTGGGGGTTGTCTCAAAAAGGGCGATATGATCACACCAAACTCCCCCCTCCCCCAAAGAATGGCCATAAGGCATACACATTTTCTGTTAATTGAATGACAACTGGATAGTTCATAATGATTATTCATGGTAGTAATTTCTTTTCCAGAATTGGGAAGATATAAGATCAATAAGGCATGGCCTTGAAATCAAAAGTGGTGATCGAGTCTTTACACTTGCATCCGGTGGTGGAAATGCGATGACTCTCCTACTCGATGATCCAGTTGAAGTCGTGGCACTTGATTTTTCCATTCCGCAGCTGCACTTGGCAAAACTACAGGCAGCCTGCATCAAATATCTGTCATATCAAGAGTTCATCAACTTTGTTGGAGTTCAAAATATGGAACCAGAAGAACGGGTCAGAATTTTTAACTCCATAAAAGGAGCACTGGAAGCTGACGTGCGTGAGTATTGGAATGCTAATACATTAGATATAAACCAAGGAATAATCAATTGTGGAGATTTTGAGCAGAGATTCAAAATATTTGCAGAGGATGCCATGAATGTTGCGCTGAGTCCCAACCAAATAGAAACATTCCTATCAATGGGCGACGATATGAATGAACAGAGACGATACTTTCAAGATGTCATTGATGGTGAAGTCTTCAGACGAGCATACCGAAGGCTTGGTTATTGGTCATTCAAAGGTATCAATACAGATATAATGCCAGCTCTTGATTACCCCAACATCTTTTTACAACATTTTCTCAACAAGGTGAAAACGACACCTATGAATCAAAGCTACTTCATGGAATTTATTTTCACATGGAAACATGGTGTCCTCACTCCACTAAGGGAGTACCTACAAGAAGAGAATTTTGAGGTTCTGAAAGACAGAATTGGGCGCATGAAATGGTTACATGGAGAGATGATGAATTACTTCAAGACATATCCAACACTAAATCAGCCAAAGTTTGATGCAATGGGCTTGTCAAATGTCACTGATTTGATGACACTCAGCAATCATAATGCAGGATATCAGCAGCCCTCCTATCTTTTGTTTCATTGCAAGGCATTTTACCATTTACAGGTGACATCCAGGTTAAAATGAATATTGTACTTTATTGTTTATTTATATAAGGGGACATCTAATGCTTACAGCGCTTTGCCCCTTGTAATTGTATCTAAATGACTTGTGCTTACAATAAATATGAAAGATGTTAAAAAAAAAAATCATAATGCAACCCTACGAGCTGCTGCTAAAGTTGTTAAACAACATGGAAACATTCTCTTTTTGTGTCTTAAGGGTCTCCCTAAAACTTGGCCTGAGGATCTTGTGGGATCAGCTGTTGTTATTGAACATGATAAGGTAAAGGAATGTTCTGAAATGAATCGTTCATTCTTCTGGGAAGACATACAGGTTGCAAAGGTATTGTGAAACAATGTAACACTGAAGCCTCAGTCACATTTGGTGGCCATAGCTTCACAAAATTGATATATAAAATCTACATAGTACTGCTAATGCCTATATTTTACGCTGTATATTTCTCTCAAAAGACCTGGAGCTGCTTGTAGAACGTATGAGTCAGGGAAGTTTTTTCATGAATTTCGCTTATGTTTTTCATTAAAAAACACCAATAAACTTTGAAACATTCTATTGACTATATGATTGCACCATATAATCCCCAAAGATATTTCTCATTTTCAAGGATTATCTATGGATTATCACCCAATTTTTTCGAACTTCAGAGGGCTGGGAATCATTGATAATCAACACTTTTGAATAATATAAATGCTGTTTTAAATTGGTTTCATGTATGCCAATAATTTCTCAAATTGTGTAAACTGAACGCATTCTTAAATCCTTAGAATATTCTCTTGGAGGAATTTCCAATAGAAATCCAATGGTATAGTTCCAAGCAGATCTTGAGACAGCAGGAAAGTAAATCTTTTATTGGGTTATTTTAGTTTATATCGCGACCTGATTTTAAAAGAAAAAGGTCAAAGTAGGTTAACCGGAAGTTGGATCTCAATTTTGATTTCAGATTCTGAATCCAGAGCATATTTCCTATTAAAATGATACCAATTTGGATGGATTTAGTAAAAAACGATTATGAGTTGATTATCGCTAATTTTTTAATAATTTGGTGGCAGCAGTGGGATTTTTTGTGATTTCAAAAGGTCATAGCTCCTGAACTGGAAGTCGAATCAAAATTTTGATTTCAGATTTGGGATCCTGAGAAAATTTGATACCAATTTTGATAGATTTGGAACATCTTAAAATTGGACTTCTTTTTGATTTTGATTTAAGACCTAGATAAATATTTAAAATTTAAATCAAATCTAATCACTCATATTTGAACTTTACTTGAACTGTTTATGAAAAAAGATCAGCTTCTTTGAATGAAATCTGTCGACCAATATTTGAGTTATCACCCAGCCACAAATGGACGGGCAGATGGCTTTTCTATATTTTATTCATTATTTGACTTATCTGATTATCAAAAACCTTTAACTGTGAAGAGAACTAATCCAAACAACACAAGACTGGAAAAGAGTGTATCACTGGAGAATGTACATTGGTATTTCATTATATCAGTGCAAGTAATTTCACTTTTTCATCTGAAATCCCAGACACAATAAAATAGCAAGGCATTAACATCCAAAAAATGATTTATGTTTATTTGAGAGTAACAAAAGACCATAAATATTGTTTATAGTTTACTTGCAAGATCTGAGTAACCTCTGAGTCAGTGAATCATACAATTGTATTGTTATTGGTGTAAAACTGGTGGCTGATTTGCTTTATTTTGGGATTTGGTTGCCTACATGTAATAGGAATCAATTGGGTGGTGTGTCAGTCAAACCTAAAAAGTAATTGAAATTGAATATCCAAAAATTGAAGACCACTGTGCAATATTATATGGAAGATACATTTTTTCATATTTTTCATGCAAAATGTTTGTTTATCTTGGATTACTGCTTTGTGGTTTGGCTAATAAATAGTGTGACCTCTTGAATTCCAATGCTTCTTTGACATATCATTTTCAAAAAAATAACATGATTGAAACTCCTTAAAGTACAAGAGGCCACGGGTTAAATGTGCATAAAACTCATTCATCTGCAACATACAAATGTTTTGGATCTAAAATATGAATGTTTTCTTTTCAATAAAATATTGCTTATATTTTTCAGATTTGATTGATGTATAACCATATTGACTGACACTTTAAGTGTACGTATTGTGAACAAACATAAACCTATAAGAGGAAATCACTAAAAGTATAATCATTTAGAACAACATACACCTTGATTTACAAACATATAGTTCAATGCTGTTCTGTATATGATCTCAATGGTAAATTTCACTTGTGTGTAATCACTTACTATTACATACTATAAACATTTATTTAAGTTTAGGTTAAATAAAATTATTTATAAATTTTTTTTTACTTGGCCTAGTACCAAACTACATATAAACTCACTACATGATATTCACCAGCAGTTCAAGTTAAAGCAGACTTACATAAAGATAGATAAGATTGAACAATGTCGATTCTACGGTTTACAAACAGGTTTTTAGCAAGGAATATATTTGGGAGAGCATTAAGACATGTTGCATGTCGCACCTACTCAGAGGGGGAGGAAGTGCCCCCAGTACATCTTGGTCAGAATGAGAGGATACTATTCAGCATGGTAAGGCATGATTTCTTTACTTGAATATTTATTGTTCTATTGATGGTGCTGTTTAATTTTTAAACGTGTGGATATCTTGTGTGTTCCCTTGTGGTGTAGAGAAGTGCTAACATCGTTTCGTCTTGTTGACATGTTTTAGAATTTATCTCGATCTATTACAAGTTCAAATTTCATGATTTTTTCACGAGACTAAGATCAATGAATCTATACTCATAACCTGATGTCAGATGCACTGTATCACTCACTTACTCTATGCTTGCATCATCACAATTTTATTTGATCTCAGACTCACAATCATCTGAATACTCGAGACCAAAATTTCCCCAAGTTAGGGGAGTAACATGATGTGAAAACACTATGTTTTTGCATCAAGATGGCCAGCCTTCCACTTATAGATTTTTGAAAGACATTTTGTTTTCCCAATTTAAACCAATTTCTTGGACGATTTTTTCACTAATCGTATATGTGCAGTTAGGGCACGATCTATAATTTTAAGAAATGTTCTTAGTGTACATTTTGCATCACCAAGAAGTGAGAAATTATGGTTTTAATCATTGCTTTTGATGCAAAAACACCATTATGTTTTATCAATGATACAAAAACATCAATGAGCTGATGCAAAACGCCAATATAATGTATTACTGGCCCCATTACTGAATTACATTAGAAACATATATTCATGTTTACAAACTCAAGATTCAGATTTTGTGTGGTTTTTAAATGTATTTGTCTGTATCAAAATGGCACGTAGACTAACCAATTATCAAAATGGTCCAGTAGTATAGATGCACAAAATCAGGCCAACAGCATTCGAGTTAATGCCTGGACAGACCGACGGACAAACATAGGTGCATACAGACGGAGGGAGGCATTCCCTATATCCCTTCGAACTTTGATGAATGAGATTATTAAGCATTTTAAGGCCTAAGTCACATTTGCTATGGTGACAGTACATTCCTATGATCCCCTTGGAATTTCTGCAGTCAGATTCTTTAGCAATCACTGCTCCTGCACTGTTGCTACTGTAGCCTTCGGCATAGTTTGATTTTGAGGAGACATAAAATTATGGTTGCCGCATGGCCTTTGAATGGTGATGCACGATCAGTGTATGGTGTCACAGTGTTTTTGCATCACGATACTCCCCAGTAAAATAGAAATTTGTGAAATGTGAAGCATACATATTTTTCTATTCAATGACTAATTATAACCATGGTAGCTATAACATAGTAGCTTATTTTTTCCAGAGTTGGGAAGATATAAGATCGATAAGACATGGCCTTGAAATCAAAAGTGGTGATCGAGTCTTTACACTTGCATCCGGCGGTGGAAATGCGATAACTCTCCTACTCGATGATCCAGCTGAAGTCGTCGCACTTGATTTTTCCATTCCGCAGCTGCACTTGGCAAAACTACAGTCAGCCTGCATCAAATATCTGTCATATCAAGAGTTCATTGACTTTGTTGGAGTTAAAAATATGAAACCAGAAGAACGGGTCAGAATTTATAACTCCATAAAAGGAGCACTAGAAGCTGACGTGCGTGAGTATTGGAATGCTAATACATCGGATATAAACCAAGGGATAATCAATTGTGGAGATTTTGAGCATAGATTCAAAATTTTTGCAGACGATACCATGAATGTTGCGCTGAGTCCCAACCAAATAGAAGCATTCCTATCAATGGGCGACGATATGAATGAACAGAGACGATACTTTCAAGATGTCATTGATGGTGAAGTCTTCAGGCGAGCATACCGAAGGCTTGGTTATTGGGCATTCAAAGGTAGCAATACGGATATAATGCCAGCGCTCGATTACCCCAACATTTTTTTACAGCATTTTCTCAACAAGGTGAAAACGACACCTATGAATCAAAGCTACTTCATGGAATTTATTTTCACATGGAAACAGGGTGTCCTCACTCCACTAAGGGAGTACCTACAAGAAGAGAATTTTGATGTTCTGAAAGACAGAATCGGGCGCATGAAATGGTTACATGGAGAGATGATGAACTACTTCAAGACATTTCCAACACTAAATCAGCCAAAGTTTGATGCAATGGGCCTGTCAAATGTCACAGATATGATGACAATCAGTAATCATAATGCAACCCTAGGAGCTGCTGCTAAGGTTGTTAAACAGCATGGAAACATTCTCTTTTTATCTATTAAGGGTCTCGAGAAAACTTGGCCTGAGGATCTTGTGGGATCAGCTGTTGTTATTGAACATGATAAAGTAAAGGAGTGTTCCGAAATGGATCGTTCTTTCTTCTGGGGAGATATTCAGGTTGCAAAGGTCTTGTAAAAACAATGTAACAGATAAAATGGTCAGATAAAAATTAAAAAAATTAATTTGGCCCAATGATTAATTGTTGAGGTTGAGTTCCTGAAGAGCCCGTGAGAAATATTTGAAAATACTCCATTATTAGGACATACTGTACAAAGGCTTTTTCCAAATTAAGGGATTTCTAAGAATTGTGTGCTATTATATCCATATCTTACATATACTGTAAAATCTGGAAATAAAAATACTTATACTAATGCCTACCTCTTCATCGTCTTTCTTCTTTTCCTTGTCTTTTTTCTTTTTCTTTTGTGATCCTCCTTCTTCAAACTTTCTTTTATACACCCAGAGTTCTGACTTCTCCACCAGTACTCTCAGTGCATCTAGGTCATTCTTGATCTGCTTGTAGTTCTCTACATCACTGGTTGAGACCAGCAATTGAACCTAAAACACAAGTAAATTCAATATTTTTCATTTATTCATGTTTCATGTAGTATAGTTATCTTGTGTTACAGTTACAGGTTTGGCACTACATATAGATTACACAAATAAAGAATATATATGGGGTTTACATCAGGGGTCAATTATAACCATTTAGGTGTACGTAAATGTACATGTGCTTTAGGGTTCAACAAAAATAGACAATCTTCCTGATAGGCCTAAATGGGGAGTGTGTTCTTCAGGGTCAATTACATGTGATGTGAAATGGGACATTCCTCAGAGATCCAACTATTGCTACGCAATTGTACATGTACCTTAAAGCTCAATAAATAATTCTATCTGTCAGGCCTAATTAGGGAGTGTGTTCTTCAAGGATCAATTTTGACTCTTTATGTTATCTCAGTTGGGCCATCCCCAAGGCGGATAAGTGTACCAAATTGTGATGTACTTCAGAACTCGCTAAACTCATACCTTATGGGAAGGGGTTCTTCAGGGACGAAGTAGATATATATGTACATATAATAAAATTTAAATAAAAACACAAGATGACTTCATTTCGTTGCAACTAGTTTCTTCAAATCTTCAGGCAACATATGTACATATATGTGCATACATGTACTCACCTGTTTAAAGGCCTGTAGAACCTCCTGTCTCTGGCTGAAATGTCTGAACAAAAGCTGAAGTGCGCCAGACACTAGAGATGGGTAGTTATGCATAACTAGGTTAAGAAGCACCCTCAGAAATGTCCGTCCTCCTTGGCCATCAAGATCAAGTTCTGCTGAATCACCTCTGTAAAAATAATTGGTTTCACATAAGTACTGATACATATTCATGCAACTTTTTTGATTGATTATATTTCTGACTGTTTTTCGACTGTATATCATTGATTAATAATCAACTGTGCTGTGAAAGTTCGGCTAAATTGCCACTGTGTAAAAATAAGTAATCATATAAATCTAAATGTTTTCTTTTTTTCTAAATTCAGGTTTATATTTTCAATTTTACAAGTTCATATAATACAATTTTTACATCAACTGTAAAAATACGGAAATGTTTGTCCAATTTATCAATTTTCAATTTAGATAAAGGACTATCTTATATATCTATCGAGAAAATATAATAAAAAATGAGATTTATATTTGGCATACTAAATGATGTCTATGTTAAACTTACATGCCACCAAATATGTCCTCAGCCTGGGCCCCAATACTCTCCAAGTCCAGCCCTAAAACACAAACAATACTATAAGATACTACCACTAGGGTTGAGTGACTTTTTCACATCAGCCTTTAGCATAGGATTTGATCCTATGTTTTCAGATTAATTAATGACATCTTTAAGAGCCAACAAGGTTCGTGCTTATAAATAATGAAACATTTGCAAGGGTAGCAAAAATCTGAAAAGAGGTGAGGCAAATATTATCAAGCGAGGCAAAATTTGAGCAAAAGAGTATAACAACAAGGCATTAACATGCAAAATGTCACCACCTGCCATTTGTTACAGACACTGAATACCGGACACCTACTGCCAAATGCAAAACACCATCCATAACAATATGTCACCACTTGTGGTAGTGACATAATAATTATACTTCTTTGGGACACAACTGCATGAATTTAATTCAAAAATGTGTAAAAGTACTTTTCTGTTATTTTGTTGAGGCAATAGCCTCGCCAGTCTCACTGCTAGCCTCACCAATGCATATGTATAAATATGTATAACTTATGAACTTAATTAAGTGCAGTCAAAGCAATGAATAGAACTTCAAATATGAGGGATAATTACATGTGTGTATATAAGCAGTTTAAATACAAGGATCATTTAATAGGCTATTGCATTCTCTTTGACATTATTTCTACAGAATTTGATACAATATTTGGTGATTACAACATCTATTAAGTACAACAGTATGTGCACTGCAGGGAAGGGATTGTGCTATGCTACTGGGAGATACCTACTTCGCTATCATACATAGAAACAACAGTTTTATTAGTTTATATTTAACTCTGATATGATATGTAATGTCACAATGACTAGAACAATTGATTTACAAATAGTAGTTGCAAATAGTAGTTTTTTCTGGTTTCTTATCATATTAGAATCATAACAAAGACTGTGATTCAATGATTTATATGTCCTTAGATTTTATTCTGCCTATTGCCAAAGACTTCAATGTAGGTCGATATATTGGTCTTTTAGCAATAATCAGAAAGATCAACTGTCATGTATTGAACTACAAATCATAAAATCTCAATCTCTATTCCATAAATAAAATCTAAATCTCACTAGGGATCAGATTTGATGATATACCTGATCTATGAAGTACAAAGGATAATTCACAATGGAAAGCCCACTTTTTTTGTTTCAAACGGAAAGATTTTTGAGACATTTATGACCATTACCATATCTGATGCTCCCAACTAAACAGTCTGTGCAAAAGCCAGGAGATGAAACACACTACTGTTCTGTTTTTTATATTTTAAAGATTTTGTCACAGTCATCAACTTTGACTTTCCAACGTTTCAAGTCCTGGCAGTGTTTATTGTATATATAAGTGTTATATAACTCTTAGCAACTTGCCATATTTCAATAACATGTACATGTAGATCAAGTGAGCATGCTCATTTCATACTGCAGATGCTCAAAGGCGGTGCCCAATTGACAAAATATTTCATTTTTCAATTGCTATGAGTTAATATAACAATGCAAATGAACATAAAATGTGCTCCATGTAAACTGAAATGTTAGTATGAACATATAAATAAATTTGGATCAATTCGATCCTTTTAACCACTACCACCTATGTGCTATTAGGGCTGAAACTAATAGTAAATTCTCATACCAAACATTTAAGCTGCTATTTATCTATTTTTGCTGTCGAATATTACCTCAAACCTATTGATTACAGAGAATTCGACTATTTATTCCACCCCTATTTGTTAAATGGTAATATATTGTAGAGTTGATCCAAAACTTAAAGTTCTGCACCATTTGGTCTCAAAATTGTCATGCTACTATGGCAACCAAAGGTTTATGTTAAATGTTGAATTTATTGCTTATTTTAACTCAAAATGAGACAACTTCGTCAAATATTAAAGATTTTGAACAAATGGTGCACAACTTTTGAATCAACCCTTGTACATGAATCTACTGGAAGCCCCTTATTACTGTCTCTGACTAATAGAATAATGATTGTCATGCAATAAATGATACATTTAAGTGATGGGAATTACATATATAAGCAAACAAATAAATGCAACTCCCATGACTGCACTACATGGTACATCTCAGGTGGCATCCTCTAAAATATGAGTGCCCAGTCCTCAAAAAGTGCACCTTTTAAAAAAAATATTTTGCACTATACAACAACAAATGTGAATTCAATCCAGTGGTTTGTGAATCATATAAATCACTGAATATAAATATTACGAAATCAATTATCAAGATTTCTTTTCATGCCAATTCTAATGAGAAACTATCAAAAATTTGAAAAATTCCAAAATGTTTTTTAAAATTATTAAACATAATAGGGACATGATTTTGTACCGTATCGTCAATAATCCTTCACACGCTTGGTTTTCACTGTGTTCATGACCAATGAGAGCAGAGTAAAGATGTAATTTTAACCAATGGATTGAAATAGACATTGTATACATCTATGAAGGGTTCAACTGAGGTGCAGACATCAAAAATAGCTGATTAAGACCCTGAATGAACCTTGTGAATTCTCATTGCTGGTTCTGAGATCTCGCTTGAAGACAGTTAGTAAAGTGCCAATACTATAGTCAAGTCTCACATTCAGTAAGAACTGAAATCAGTAAAAATTCATGCAAAATATTATTGGATTTAGAGTTAAGGTTTCACTTAGTGATGATGCGCAAAATGCAAATATACAAGAAAAATAAGTAAAGCCTCAGTCATATTTGCTGTACAGTGGCGGTACAGTGGCCATAGCTTCACAAAATTGATACAGAAAATCTACATTTAGTAGTACTGCATATCCCTTTTTTTGTGCTGCATTATAATTCTCTCGATTTTGAGAAGCTACAGCCACCGTACAGTTGCTGTAGATCAAATGTGACTGAGGCATAAGGAATGAGCCACTGAATATAATAGAGGCTTACTTTATCTGCTTTCTAAGTGAAAGCAAATTTGTTTTTGTCCTTTTCTAGAATGATGAACCACTTTTTGATAAAAAGAGTATATTGGCCTTTTTATTGGTTAAAACTCCCTAAGTTTTGTTTTTGAAGATTTTTGAGTTGAAAGGTTAAACAAGTAAGCTCCCCTCTTGCAGAAATATTTAATGGTTCATCCTATAGACATATATGGCAATGCAGTTGCAATCTTGTCCGCACATATACGCCTAGGTTAATTAGTACGTATCCTATGAGAGAAAGAATATTTTTAAGCAATGTACAGGGTGGGCCAAAAAAAACCAATACCCAGCTTCAAATCAGAATAAAAATAGTTACATTCAATATGGTACATTGACTTACATATCATTTTAAAGGTCGTACAATTTCAAACAATTTGGTATATAACACTATGTCATGAAATCAATAGTAAAGTTTTATTATACTGTGACAGGATGTTTTAGATTTTCAAACCCTACTGTGGAGAGTTATATTTTTATGTATTTCAATTATATTTTCAAACCCTGCTAGGAGAATAGCTTTGATTTACACACAGTGTGCACATGCAAGGGGATTAACCTTGATTGCATTTACTTTCCAAATCACCAGTGCTAGCCTTGATTTTGAACTGTAAAGACATGGTAAGAAATTTTCATATATTTTTGTCACTTTTTACCCTTTAGAATATGCCAACATTATGCCAATTGTATTCATTTTATTCTCCATAACTTTAGCTCCAATTTGATGTAAATATTATTTTGTATTTCAAATACTTTTGAGTAATATCTTTGTAAAACTTGAACAATGTGTTGGAACATTTGTCCATAAGGTGATGTTCATTTCATGCATCTGTGCGTTATTCATTTACAATTAAAACCACCATTTATGTCATTTCATATGACTTATCTTGGTACACACGTTTTACAGGAGATACTGTGTGCGTACTAAAGATGTATGGCTAGCACTCAGAGACTGTATAGCTTATTTTATAAGGTACATTCCACATTTTATTTATATTGCTCAATTGTAAACCTTCATGGTACATTTTGCATAAAGTAACTGAATTATATTTATATTTGGTAATTTCAATAGAGAAATGTATGTAGTACGTCAAGTACAGTATAAGGGTTTTCTTGGGAACAGAATAAGGGCCCTTTAAGTCCCATAGCCCTTAGTACTAAGAAGTTTATCATAAAACTGTATGTTTCATTATTGTATTTTACCTGCTTTACAAACAGCTATTTGTACATTACTTTTATTTGCAGCTCTGGGGTACAAACTAGGTGCACAGCCTTAAGCATTTGTGGTTTTGGTCTTAAGTGAGTTAGTGATTTAGGTAGCTTGAATACAAGATCAGTTAGTGATTTAGGTAGCTTGAGTACAAGATCAGTTAGTGATTTAGGTAGCTTGAGTATTAAGATCAGTTGAGAGATTTAGCTCATTTGTATAACATTTTGATCATTTGATTGATTATAGGGTGGAATACATTTTAAATACATTTTATATTCTTATTCTGTTAATTTGATTTGTAATGTAACCCACATCCACTCCCCCATGGTTACAATACTTATTTGGGAGGCCGGGTTGCTATTTAAGGTTTCCAGATTTAAGGGAGAAAATAGTAAATCTGCGGAATTATGTTAATTTTTTATTTATAGAAAACCATTCTTTTGTTAGGTGAATACATGCTTGGATATTGATATTTGCATCATTGTGTGACTAAATTTATTGTTTATGAATTTCAGTGCTGTTTAATAACATTTTACACTTTATTTATTTTTCGCAATTGCTCAATATACCCCCACCCCCTCCCCTCTGCATCAACAATAAGCTTCAAGTTGTAGCGCAATCTATCATCAATAGCCTTATTGAGAGATTTCTGTTGCATTTCATTTCAGCACTTAAGGATTCTGTTTCAGCTCATCAATGCTGTTTATTGGATGCTTTTGATTGTACCATTTCCTCGAAATGGCTCCATGTATGGTAATCAAACACATTACATGTAGCATGGATACTGTTGGGTAGCCAAGCATCGAGATCAATCAAATTGACACCTTGTTTGCAAAGGAATTCCAATGTCTCCTGAGATCTATGGAACGAGGCAATGTCTTGTTGGAAAATAAAACCCTCGTCACATGTACCCCCTTTGAGTACTTATTGATAATAAACAACACTAAAATTCATAAACAATAAGTTTAGTCACACAATATGCAAATATACAAGCATGTATTCACCTAACAAAATGATATTCTAGAAATAAAAAATTAACATTATTCCGCAGATTTACTATTTTCTCCCTAAAATCAAGATACCTAATAAATACCGACCCAGCCTCCCAAATAAGCATAATAAAACTTTAATATTGATTTCATGACATAGTGTTATATACCAAATTGTTGGAAAATGGATTACCTTTAAAATGATATATAAATCAATGTATCATATTGAGCATAGCTATTTTCATTCTGATTTAAAGTTGGGTATTGGTTTTTTTGGCCCACCCTGTATATACATTATACCTTACTAATCCAATAAACTTTAGCATGCAAAAACTACCACCCTGTAGCACACCCCAAGGGTATAAAGGGAATGGTAATAGGAATATGTTGAAGGGGAACTTCTAGGCCTCTAATTGTTATCATAAATTCGGAAGCACAACTTGGAAAGGTTTTACAGGGTGTTCTACTAATTAATGGGACATCATGTTTTCCATTTTCATAGTACACCCTGTAAAACAAATACACTTGTAGCCAGTATAGTGGTATTATTATGCAATATTGATAGGTTATATTTTAAAATGCAACAAGAACGGTTAGAATGTAAAATCAACAACAAGTGTAGCAAAGTATTCACAAGGAGTTCTCTTATATCATTGTTAAACTTTTTCGACCATGGCCTTAAATTGTATAGTACAACATTATAATATGGCATGAGCATGTACTGTAATTATTTTAGGTAATTATATGTAAAAAATGGAGTGAAATGAATAAGTTCAAAAAATTTTTTTAAACGATTGCTGAATGCCAAACACCGAAAACACTCTCCACAAAAAAGTTGGAACCTGTAACAATATGTCAGCACTTGTGGCGACAGAAAAACTGACATAGTTGAAGAAGTTTAATGTTTAATGATTTATGAGAACTCCAGAGAATACCACAAACCTGAAATCTATAATGACATATCATAATCGTGACATATGATCATTACATCGCATCAAGCATCTTGTTAATAATTCCACGTCTCTAAATTGCTTTTGAGAATGAAATTGGGTTCAGATACAGTACTATGCGATGTTCAAACTTATACTTAGACATCAATACGATGCTATAGTAAATATCGTATATTGTGGATACAGATTTCAGGTTTTAATATATGCTATAAGGTCCCGCCACCATATATATATACCACATATGCCTCGATCGTTACCAGTACACATATAAATAGTGGGAAACATACCAGTATATATATACCAGCTGGTAAACTGAACTGGTTCATTGCAGGTATATTGGAAAAGTATACAGTGGGTGTAGTATGAATCAAAGACATAGGATGTCATGGTGGAGTTGACATTCCTAACAGAAAGAAAGAAAAATCCCAAAATGCATTCTTCAAAATCTTCCACTGGGGTCCATGGTACAATCATAACTTACGATTCCTAGACATTGACTACTTTTTGGTGAATAATGATCTGAGGTGAATCGTAAGTTATCATGGTTCCAAAAACAGACCCCTGTAATATAGATTTCATATCAATGAGTTATACACACTCAATCGAGCATGTCAGAGTTGTCACCTGTGATTGGTCAATCAAAATGTGTTACATTTCCACGTAACGCTTGTATTCGCAAATGCAACTAACACCTGTCGGCTACCGGATTAATCTGCTATTTTATGGGCAACTCATTTAAATATGAATACAATTCATTGAATAGTACCTGCCACTATTCCATTCATATTCAAATGAGTTGGTCATAAAATAGTAGCTTCATCCAGAAGCTGACAGCCGAAAGTTGCATTCGCAAATACAAGCAAAGGCTCCTTTAAAGGAGTAAATATATTCAAATCTCGATTTGTCATGATAAAGGGAAATTCATTGACTTCACCCAAGTGACAAAACTTCAATGAAACCATCCATATCCATTAGACCACCATAAGATCCTGTAAAGGGTTAAATCACTCAAAATGCTGGCAAAATAAAACTGCTGTGGCTAATGCAAGTTAAATGTCAATTTAGCGAAAAAATAGTTATTCAAACAATGAAAGAATGACAAGGCTTTAATAAAATATTAATTTGCAATAATACCCCAAAATGATAAAATAATAGAAATGCCAAAATGAATGACTTGCATTAAGAGAAAATTAAACCAGAGGTTCCAGGTCGATAAGATAGGTGTCACTAGATAGACATTTAATTTGTATTGGCCTAACTATTAACCACTAGCGTGCAGGCAAACTATAATCCATAACTCTAATTGGTATGTTCGTACCGTCTGCAGTTTTCAGCACATTATTTTCATCAAATTCACGTTTGAAAATTGAAAGCAAACATGAGATCCTGTAGTCAAGTCTAACATTGAGGATAAACTGAAATAGAAATTAAGAAATAAGCAAAAATCAATTTTTTATTGAAATCTATTTTTTTATTTATAACTTAGGGAGCATGCATATGGTCTCTTCAAAAATTAAAAAATCTTTTATGCAAATATATGAAATATCATATGGCAAATTTTTTAAAATCATCTACATGTATATAAGCAAATATTATTTTAAATAATATCACAAAGTGCGATTGTGCTCTAATAAGTAAAAATAAAATGTAATAAATGTCATTTACATGTAAATGAACAAAAATTTGGTAAGACATGTACAGTGTATAAATATCTGTAAAAAATAAAGGTATCTTGTCCAGCATATAATTATCATACTAAAAATTATTCTAAATTAACTTTATTAATCACAAACCTGCAAAATTTCTATGATTTTCAATTTGGTATCCATCACTAAAGTATCCTCAACTTTTCCATCGGATTTTACTGGAATAATCTCAGCTGGGATAATCTCCTTGGTGATGTTGTTATTGTTGTTGATTTTGGCAGATTCCTGGGCTCGCATGACCATATTTGACATTGCATTTCCCATACCACCCAGCGTCCTCAACATGTTGCCCTTACCTGTAAATGAGTATAATGTTATCTACAGACCCTCCTTTGAAATAAGAAATGAACCAGGGCACAGAAAAAGGGGTCTTATCGCAGATTTTTTCAATTTTTGATTTTTGTTATATCTCCATTCTATTTTTATTTTAATTTCATTTCATTTCCTTCTTTTCCTTCATTCTATTTTCATTTTATTTTCATTTTATTTCCTTCTCTTCCCAAAACCTAGCTAAGCAATGAAATTTTTCCTCGGAGGATCTTGAATGAAATTACTGATTCTGTATTGGCAGAGTGTGAATAAAGCTCTCCTTTAAAGATGTGAATGCAATCTCTTAACAAATTGTCCAACAACTTTGAATTGATTCATTTAAAGAAAATACATGTGGATAAAAAGACGAAATGTTGGGATGGAAGTGAAGCATTGACTGTTGAGATGAAACTAATGTAATAAATTAACATTTCTACACATATCAACCCTAAAGTTCACTATTAATCAGTTCCTTAAAAACAAAAGTGCTCAAATCTTTTAAATATCTTAAGTAGGAGCAACCTATTTTTGACGATAATGAATAATAGTAATTGTTACAACTTCTTATGTATTGATTTACCTAACACTACCCCATGCATTCTGGTCAAGATGCAAAACCCAAAAATAAATATATGACACTGAAATTTAAGGAACTCCCCTCACCATATACCAACATCATTGAGGTAGACCAAGCAAAAAGATTAAACCATCGTATAAATCAAAAAATATTTCTCTAGGCCTACCTTAAATTCAAGAAAATATATTCTTAATTTTTAAAATAATTCTAAAGGTGATACAACATTTCTAAATAATGCCATCCTGGCAAGCTATGCTGTACATCAAATTATTAATTTAAAAAGATAAGTTTTACAACATTAAAATCCTACAAAAGTAAATTGCAGGATCTGAAAATCATTGAATTCTTAATATATAAAGTGGAATAACGTATAAATGGAATATAAGAACATTGTATGCTGAGTTTAATAAATCAATGATACATGAAAATGAAAGAAAATTAATTTGAAAAATGAGAAAAAGTTAAAGTGAAAGCATCTATTAACCTGACTAAATGATAAATATGTGATGTGTTGTAATATATCCTATTGTACAATAGTGATGTTGAACATTGTACAATATACCATGTTGTAAAATAATGCTGTTGTACATTGTGCAGTTTACAATGGTGCATTGTATACTGTGGGATCCTACCATAATGATGTGCATTGTATAATACACGCAATTATTGCAAAATGTAATCCAGGTGTTTACTACTATAGTAAAACAGCATTATACATTAACATGAGTATATTTCAGAATGTTACCATCATCTTCGTGCTTATAACATATTTTATAAATGTCTTGCAATAAATCTTTTGTTCCTGTATCCACATACCTTCAACAGTCAAATAACATGTTCATGTAGTCATTTTTGGAAACTACATGAAAGACTATGGAACAGAGTGGGGGTAGTTGAACAAAAATATTTAATGCAAGACAAAATGTGAAAATCTGGTAAAGTAAATGCTGACAACAATAACAACCTGGTTCTTCCTTTGCTTTAGGTTTGGCTAAATAGTAAAAATATACGATGAAAAACATGCAATGAGGAGTGAATAAATATAAATGTTATGTATGAAGCAAATGTTTTGGATCCCGATGAAATGTTCTTAATGATTCATGTGAATTTTCTGACTTGGCCTACTGCACGAAGAATCCATGAAATAATGCTTATATAAAAATACATCTATGGCAAATGACATAACTTCTAATCACTATGACAATGAACAGTTTAAAGCTATAAAAAGCTAAGAGAAACATTTTAACATTTTGATCTAAAGAGGAATAACAAAAAATGAAAGATGAAAACCTTCTTTCTTCTCTGTTTCTGGAGCTGCATGTTGAAAAGGAAGACAAAATAATAAATTCTTGATGACATCTCGAATACACATACTGTCCTCATCCTGACCCAAACTAAGGTAAGGTGGTTAATTGGAACCACACTACAATAATGGTGGTGATATGACACCACACTATAGTAAAGGGATGCTATGACACCACACTACAGTAAGGTGGTGCTATGGCACCACACTACAGTAAGGTGGTACTATGGAACCACACTACAATAAGGCAGAGATATGGCACCACACTACAATAAGGTGGTGATATGGTATCACACAACAATATGGTTGTGATATGGCACCACATTACAATATGGTTGTGATATGGCACCACACTACAATAAGGTGGTTATATGGAACCACACTACAATGAGGTGGTGATATGGCACAGGAAAGGACAAGCACGGTGAAATACAGTCACACATATCAGATTTGAATATTAAATTATTGGACCGGATTATCTCTGGAGTATTTGACTGATACAAACAATTCATGCCATTATTGTCAATTACAATCCACTTGAATAGACTACAATGCACAAAAAGAGACTAGATGCCAGTAGAAGCAAGGGATTTTCAGGACTAAAAACATTCCAAATTCAGTCAAAGAGATATCATATTCAAATTAATTTCAAGAATTTGTGGTTTAAAAATTTAGAAAATGTGATTTCTTTATACCTTTTTGGTTTCATGAATAAATAATAATTGCATTTGCATTTTAAGTATTTTAAATGACAATGAGCATTATACTCAAAAAGTCAAATCACAATCGGTGCACTGAATCAATTTCTCTTGAAGTTGAGAGAGAATTTTCTCAATCATTTGCTATGTATCTTAGCCAATTAAACCACTATTGGTAAATCTATTCATTTATTGTATTAGCTAACTACTGGCATCGAGGTTATTACCACAAGATTAATAGATAATTCATTCTACATAGCACATTATTCACTTGTTCACATACAAGGTGTCATTATTGCATGGGACACCCTGTACATTTAACATCATGGATTTAACAAGTCATCAAATTCAATGAGGAACATGACTATTAATAGATGGCAGTCTCAAACTAGGGTTTTAATCATATTGGAAAAATTCTTCAAAATTGTGTTACAATGATAGAATAAAGAGCAAGTTTATGTTGAATTGATTTCCATGAAATTCCCAAAATTTTATGTAATTTTGGTTTTTATAAGTTAATTATACTTACCTATTATGTCATTACAATATGCTAAAAGCTACCATAGTCACCTTTTATTGGAACAATTATTTTCTACTTTCACTTTCACTTTCGGTTTCCCGGAAGCCCCGCCCACTTTACGTCATAGTTGCGCATGCGCACCATTCATTTTTCACTAGGTGAAACGCTTATTTTAAAGCTGATAAGCGGGGTGGCAAGGGAGGGCTTTTGATGTAATGACATAATAGGTAAGTATAATTAACTTATAAAAACCAAAATTACATAAAATTTGGGGATTTTACTACGTAAATTAATATCACTTACCAATTATGTCATTACAATATGCTGAATCCCACCAGAGCAGGTGGAGGGATATTAGCTTAGAAAATAAAATACTCCAAAAACAGCATTAACTGATTAGAATTCGTACTTGAATCACTATCCTTACCATAGGATATTAAGTTAAATAATTTTGCAACGCAAAACTAAAAGTAACAAGTGAAAATAATTTATCCAAGCACACTCCTTTGTTATTCATATCTTAATTATTGATAACAAATAAATGGATATGAATAACAAAAAAACTTTCCACCTTTTATTGGTAGGATAATGAACTATAAGACTTTTAAACTTACTTAAACAGTTTTGTTCGCAGCAATGAAGTGGTTGCCTTCGAAGTCTTTCAAGGACACTTCCTTTAAGTAAAATGAAGCGAACGTGTTAAAGTTAGTCCATCTTCCAGCTTGAATAATCTCGTCTAGAGTGCAATTCTTCGCAAAAGCAATGGAAGTTGATAAGGCTCTGAGTTGGTGAGTTTTAACCTTATAAACCTGCTCAGCATGCTTGGGAAAAGACTGTAATGCCTTTGCTACACAATTCTTCACCCATGAAGTTATTGTGTTAGCATGTATCTCTTCTTTATAGCCTTTCTTGTATGATATAAACAATCTTTGTTGTTTATCTCTCATGGGCTTTGATCTTCTCATATAAACTTTTAATGCTCTAACAGGGCATAAAAGCTTATCATCTTGAAGATCTGGTGTCAAAAAAACTGTTAAGGCTTTTATCTCAATGTCCTTCAGGACAGTACCTCCAGCCTTTAGTAAGGTCTTGGGTACAAAGTCAGATTTGAATCCTAGAAAAATGGATTGCCAGTCAATACTATGTGACACCTTCTTAAGCACCAAGGCATGTATCTCACTGCGTCTTGCTGCAGATGCTAACAGAGTGAGAAAAACTGTTTTCCACGTGACAAATTTTAAATCAACTATCTCGATAGGTTCAAAAGGAGGTCTCATAAGACCTTGTAGGACCACATTTAAATCCCAGTTTGGAATTTTATTAGAGATATTCCTCGGTCTTTCTTGTTTGAAATTAGATAACAAACAAGAAATCAAAGGATCTGAACCAATATCTAAATTCGAAGTTTCTTTCAGAGTATTACCTAAGGCTGTTCTGTATCCTGCTATAGTAACTGGTTGAAGTTTTCTATCTTCAAATAACCAATTCAGAAAATCGGCTACTACAGTAACAGAAGTTCTGAATGGATCTCTATTCCGTTCAGAACACCAACTAGCCCAGACTCTCCATTTCGAGTCATATACCTTGATCGAGGAGTTTCTTTGAGGTTTTGCAATTCTTTCTGCAACCTTGTTTGAAAAGCCTTTGTTTTTAAAGGATTGTTTGACAGCCTCCAAGCGTGAAGCTTGAATATTTGGGGATTTTGATGAAATACCCATTGTCTTGTCTGTTTCAACATTTTTGGAACTACTGGAATGTGTAGAGGTTTCTCTACAAGAGACTCTAACAGTCTGGGATACCATGCTTGTTTCTCCCATAATGGGGCAATGAGAATCATTTCTACATTTGTCGTTTGCAACATCTTGTTCAGAACTAGAGAGATTAATGGTGTCGGGGGAAAGGCATAAGCCCATAGACCTTTCCAATCCATACTTAGAGCATCTACCTCCCATGCTAGCATATCCGGGACTGGTGACACAAATAGAGGTAATTTCGTGTTGTGTCGTGTCGCAAAAAGGTGTACTAGAGGTTTTCCCCATTTCCTGCAAATTGCATGGAAAATTTGATCTTTCAGACTCCACTCTGTCGACAGAATCTGAGACTTCCTGGACAGAGCATCTGCCAGAATGTTCAATCTCCCTGGAATATGACGTATTGTCATTTCTATATTGTTGACTTGATTCCATAGCAGAATTCTTTTTGTTACCTTGAATAACTGGTAAGAATGTGTGCCGCCTTGATTTTTCAAATAGGCCACAGTGGATGCATTGTCTGAGGATACTTGTATCCTTTTCCCCTGTACTTGAGGTTGAAAATGTTTGAGACTTAACTCTACTGCCATCAACTCCTTCATGTTGATGTGCAGGTTCAGATCTTGTTTGGACCACATCTTTGAAACTTCTAGATTTTCTAAATGTGCTCCCCAAGCTGTCATTGAACTGTCTGTGAACAGTTTTAGATCTATTGAATTCTGCATTTGAATTGGAACACCTTTCACAAGATTGTCCTTGTTTAGCCACCAGACTAAGTCTTGTCTTGTCATTTTGGACCATGGAATCAAAATGTTCATGTCCTTTGAGGCATTCCAATTTCTCTGGAGATCGTATTGCATCTCCCTCATGAACAATCTCCCTAGTGGCACAATTTTCTCTGTTGCCGCTAGGAGACCCAAAATTCTTTTCCAGAATTTTGCTGTTTGTAAAGGTTTCGCTAGGAAACGCTGTATCTCTGTTTCGAGTAACTCTACTCTGTATTGAGTGGGTAAAATTAGACCTTTCTTTAGGTCGTAAAGTGAGCCCAGGTAAGTAAGTTGCTGAGTTGGATTTAACTCTGACTTGTCCAGATTTAGGAGAAAGCCTAACTTTTTCGTTAAGTTGCACATAGTCTTTGTGTTCTCTGAACTTACTTGGTGTGATGATGCTATTATCATCCAATCGTCGAGATACTGGAACATCTTTGTATTTATTGAATGAAGGAATTTTTTGATCTGAGAAACTATCTCTGTGAAAATTAAAGGAGCTGTTGCTAGACCAAATGGAAGACATTTCCATTGGAAGACTCCCCGATTTTTCACAGCAAATCTCAGATATTTCTGGTGAGACCTGGCAATAGGGACATGCAAATAGGCCTGTCGAAGGTCTATAGAAGTCATGTACATTCCCTTCTCCAGATTTCTTTTGATGATTTCTGGAGTGTCCATCTTGAATGATGGGACATTCAGAAATAGATTTAGAGTTGACAGGTCTGTCACGGGTCTCCATTTGTCGGATGACTTTTTTGAACCAGAAATATTCGACTGTAAAACCCTGGGGAAGAAATGTCTTCTACTTGTTCTATAGCATTCTCCTCTAGGAGAGTGTTGATTAGGTCGAAAACTGCCGCTCTTTTTAGAGGATTGTGGAATTCTGACCAAAGGGGAGTCTTTTGTAACTTTGGCTTTTCTTTGAATGGAAGATAATAGCCTTCTTTTAAAAGGTTTATCACTTTTGCCGAAGCATTTATTTGACTCCATTCCTGCCAGAATTCCATCAACCTCCCACCCACTTTGTCGTTTGACGATGTATGGAGGTAATTTTCGACCTGGAATAAGTCACTGTTTATCAGTGGACTTTCCTCTACCGACAGATTTACCTCTGCCTCTTCCTCGAGAAAAACTCTTTGAACCCCGTCCTTTTCCACGAAAAGAACTGTCTTTGTTCTGGAACTTATTGGAAGTTTTGGGTTTGTTTTTGTCCTCCTTTTTAGAGGTGTAGTCTAGAATTTGATTCTGCGCTATATCATTTTTAGCTTTCCTCAAATTTTCTTTCACTTTGGCCAAGTTGTCTTGAAACAACTTCCCAGTTTGGGGCTCAAGAGTCATAAGTTCTTTGAGATCTGCAAAGGGGATATCTTTATCCGCCTTCATGGAAAGGTAAGAATGTCTCCTGCATGCTACTATTTGATTGAGCAAAAAAGCATTAAGACGATACCCATCCTCAATGCAGTGACCAGCTGCTTTAATTAATGTCAAAGCCTGTTCTATTTTCTGACATAAAGAAGGATCCATTCCTTCTTCTTTTAACAGATCCTCAAACAGTGGTTTAACAGAACCAATGAACCATTCAGTGTGAGAGGAAGTAACTAGATTTTCTCTAGACACACCCTCCCAATCTGTCAATGTCTTCAATGACAGATTCGCAAAATGAGGGTCTAATTTGGCCTTTTGCGAATCATTCTTCTTGAATGTTTTGGCAATGGACGAAAAATCTTCGTCTATTTTGCAGGGTTCAAACTTATCCTCATCTGGTACGATTTGGTATAAGGCTTTAGGAAGTTTGTATCTTTTCTTACAAAGATTTGGTAAATCTTTGGAAAAGGCATCCTGGGGTAAGTCGTTAAAGATTTTGACTCCTTCAATCAAGTTATTCTTTACACCTGGGCAAAGTGGCAGTTGTAAAGAATTAGTCAATACTGAAGGTTTATCTTTCACTAGAGACCAAGATTTGACCTTATTCTTAGGTGTTGACATCTCTGCTATCTCAGGGAAAGATTTTTTAACGACTTCAGTGGCTGCCAAAAATTCTAATTTGGCTCTTGCCACCTCATTTGATGGCTTAGTATCAGGATCTTCCTGTTCACCATCATTCTCCAACTCTATAGTAACTGAATCATCATCTCTATTAAGAGAAATGGTTCTTGTAAGAGTAGGAGGTGATTTAAATTGTTGATCATCATTTATTTGAATGTGATCATCCTGTTCTTGTATGTGATCATCATTTACTTGAGTGTGATCATCATTCACAGACCATGGCCTTGACTGTGTTCTCTTGGAAATATTTTGAGGTATGTATGCAGATGATCCTGCATACATCGCTCTCAGAACTTGCTGGTCTTGCAAGAAATTCTGAAACATTTCCTGTCTTTGATCAATTCTCGGATTGATAAATTGATCTCTCTCCCATTGATACTTATCGTACCTGGGTGAATCTTTATCATTTCTGTAACGTCTCCTTTTAGGACTTATAGAAGGAGATTGTTTACGATAGTACCTCTTCTTTGGACTTAAAGAAGGAGATCTATGAGACCTATAAGCAGATCTATGATGTGAAGATTTGTGTCTTTTCCTCGGACTTGAGGACAAAGACTTTGATCTAGACCTGGACTTTGATCTATGTTTGTACTTGTATCTAGACCTGGACTTAGATCTAGACCTTTTACGATTGTGAAGTCTATCTTTAGATCTGTATCTCACCCTCGGACTTGAGGAATGAGAACGTGATCTCCTTGATCTAGACCTGGATCTAGACCTGGATCTCGATCTGTATCTACCCCTCGGACTTGAGGAAATAGATTTAGTTCTGTGACGTCGCCGTTTAGGAGAAGCCGAATCTCTGTGACGATGTTTTTTACGTCTTTTAAACGAAGTGTCAGAGTCTGACCCACTTGAAGTTGAATTACTTCGACTTTCTCTACGGCCACGCCGAACTTTTTCTAGAACTTTAGACTTCACAACCGGTGATTTACCTTTGTTTGAGCGCGCTGGGCTAACTCGCTGATCACCCTGGGTATTAACCCCTTCTGTTGTATCGAACTGCGTTGTATTCGTCGACATAGTAGACTTGTAACGCTCGTTTTTGGACCAATTTATCGCACTTTTGAAAATTTTGTGTGACTTTCAAAATGGTAGAAAAATGAATGGTGCGCATGCGCAACTATGACGTAAAGTGGGCGGGGCTTCCGGGAAACCGAAAGTGAAAGTGAAAGTAGAAAATAATTGTTCCAATAAAAGGTGACTATGGTAGCTTTTAGCATATTGTAATGACATAATTGGTAAGTGATATTAATTTACGTAGTAAAAAACACAGTTATGCAAAACGTTTGTAACTGCCATCTATACATGTCTCATAAGATTCAATTCAATATGAAATTGTGGAGCCATCTTTTATTTAATTTTGACATACCATCTTTCTCGGGCACGCAGTCCAGAATGCTGAGCAGGGTCTTGGTGAGACGGAGCAAATCACGAAAAGTGTAGAAGCCAAAATAGATAAGATGTCGAGCCAGTTTCACAACCTGAAGTAGAAAATGTATAGCGTTTCATATCTGAAAAGCTATCAGACTACAAATAAAAGCAAGTTGAAGTCTTATAAGAGTAAGTTTTACTAATAATAACTTTACCTCTAAAGTGGATAGAAATAATACATTTGAAAGCTTTAAAAAGTTTTAACAAAAATTGGGTTTACTTTATTTTTAGTTCATTTTTTAATACACATCAGATCTGTAAATACCTGGAAAAATATATGTACCAAAAATGTGATTTATTTTATTAGAAATGTCAGATAAGATTACCTCAAAAGTGAGTTTATTTTGCTCCTTGTCAGCGAATGACCAGGAGTGGCTGACAACATTACACAGGTAGTCTTCAACGAACATGATTGTAGCAGCGAACTTGTGCTTCACAGACTCCTTCACGGGATCCTTAGTGCGGTTAGACTCATAACTATAAAAGGATGACACATGTAAATATATGGGGTTTATTTTTCAACAGATGTAAATATATGGGGGTTGTGTTAAGGGAGGTTTTGGATATGGGGTATATCCTGAGGCAAATATAGATATCTTAAGATGAGGTAAGGTATCATATTTTCTGAAGGATATATCCGATATCCAATACCAAGTATCACAAACTAGTTTATCCCATGACAAGTGAGGTTTCAAAAGACGTAAGTTAATATAATGAATTCATTTTATATAAATAAGCTGGATTCATTGCTTAAGCATTGATGTCATTAACCAATCAACACCATACATAAATATGTTGGATTCATTGACCAAAACATTGACCCATTGAATCAGTAATATCATATGCTAACATGATTAAAATCATTCAGAATCAGGTTGTTTAAAAATCAAACCACCTCAACAAATTGAATTAATATTAATATTTTGAAAATTGGAATAAAAGGATAAAGCTATTTCTTAATCTAGTAAGCTATGGTTCACAAGAATGAGATATACAAGAATGTATAAGAAGCTGAATTTGATTGCACTGATCAGCACCGACCCTTTCTGTATAAAGAATTAAGCTAAGTGGCTTTCATATACAAGCAGGAAAGTTTGATGAATTTTCAAGATATTCCATTTGCTATCAAGGTCTCTAGAAGTCTGCAGCTACCTCTCTATTTCGCACTACTGGCACATTAAAGCAAAATGTGATATTGACAATTCTATTTTCAAAGATAATAGAATAAGGTGAAAAATATTCAATGAAGACCACTATAATGAGCTTTCTATTTGATGAGATATGTACATATATGGAATAGCTAGTGATTAAGACTGCCATATCTTTGACCATGGGTATTTTCTAACCATAAATGCAGCATTTTTAACGTAAATTTCATTGAAACAAATGTAATCTCTAATGTTTATGGAGACATAAAAGCATAAGGATTCAACTGGTAACAATTTGTGTTTGGCCTGGTTCTTATTACCTGGCCAGCCTTATGGCTTATGGGTAATTAGAACAAATATGTACTCCCCTGAAATGATATTAATTGGATCAAATGACTAGAATTTCTATTTGCTTTAGAAGAAAACAATAAACGATACTAAATTATACTTCAAACATTATGAAAACATTTCAATTACAACATATAACAACATATGGACAAGTACAAACAAAAATATAGACATTTGTATACTTCAAGAATGTCCTAAAAATTAGAAAGATTGTCATGTATGAAATGTACACATGCATGGATTATGGATGATGCATGCTGATATTGAACAAATATTTCACTCTATTGAGGTGAATACCTGTACATCTTTCACAAGTGATATTCCACGAAGCCCGAAGGGCAAGTGGAATATCACCTTGTGAAAGTGCTACAGGTATTCACCGAAAATAGAGTGAAATATTTGTTTTATTATATCACTGTCTAGCTAAACATCCCTAATATTATTAAGTCATAGGTTAACATTGAAATACTTAGAGAAGTACATTGAATCTACTCGGTTCGTCTGCCATTTTGACTTACACTGAACTAAATTATTTACACTGAACGAAAACAAATTCTTTAAAAATTCCCGGGAGCGTGGGATATCGCTAGATATCTCACGGTTGTCTTATCTGATTAGCATTGCCATTGAATATCGCCAGATATCCCACGACATGTGACCCGGTTTTGACCAATCATACTGTCGATAGCTAGATAGTGATATAATAATGTGTATTATTGGTAAAAAGTGTCAATACATGCTATGGTTAGGTATGTGAGACATTATATAATGTTATGTGTAAATAATGTGTAATAATTATACCATATATTTAATTCAATAAGACTAGCTACAAGCCCCTGTGACCCCCACTCCCAATACTTGACTTTACTACACACCTTCTCATGATGTGTAGTAGGGGGGGGGGGGGGGGTTCATAAGGGCTTGTAGCTAGAGTGTACTTTACTTAGTTTAAATATGAATAGTTATTTGGTATCATTGGTGTACCTTCACCCAATAACAGAATAATTTAGAAATGTAGACATCATTTTAGTACATATCCTCAGAAGAGGAACTATTAAAGGGGGGGGGGGGGGGCAATCATATAAACCATGAACATGATAGGAAAGATTTTTCAACAACAGAAGCATTGTTATATTTCTCATATTATGTAACATACTGATAAATAGCAAGTATAAACCATATGCCCTCATATCTTCAGAGGTACAGAATGCAGTGAATACAGGAAAGATGTCCATGCAAAAGCTATTGAGGCAGCAAAGCATATATTAAGTCAAGCCAAATACAAGTATCAAGTATGAGGATGATACAATTAACATGTAAATATGAAGCATATTGCAACTGTGTCGAGGATTACTTCGATTGTATCCCATGATTCTTTAGGAATATGATTTTTAGCTATGAATAGATTGTCTCAAATTGTAGTTATTAAAATTGTAATCACATTCAAATAAAATCTCGCTGAAATAAGGCAAGTTTCTGATAGCATGAATCAACATGGTGAGCCAGGAAAACTAAAAGCTTAATGGTACCCTGAGCTGGTTTACACCCTGACTTAAAGCTTGAAGGACATAATAAGCTTTGATTCGAGGCTACTGATATCTCTTCCAAGCATTTTCCAAGTTTCTTGATTTGAATTTGTGATTGTTAATTCGTGCTATCATGGCATAATAGCAGGTCTGAGTTTTTAAAAGTCTTTTAAAATTTTGTCAAAAGACCCATGATTTATTGTAACTTCTCAATACAGTTGCATAGAGTTTTAGCATTAACAGAAAAAGTGTATTTTATTTATAAAACAGTTGCCATAACAACGTACATTCTTTCATCAAGCAATTTTCCATAACTGAAATGTAGAGACAATAATCCATATATTATACTGGACTATCATTTGTCACAATCCTGAAATATAATATAGATACACAAGCTGACTTTGATTTAAAACACAAAAATAGAGGCAGGGTGTTTCTTTAATTCTAGACATTGAGCATCGTTGAAGTTAATATGGAATAAAGATCTGGATCCTCCAACTTAATCTGCAAATGATGCATCCCTCTCCTGGAAACGAAATTTCAAAAATGCAGCCTTAGCACCCAGCTACCATATACAATGCAATTATATTAATGTAGCAGTTATAGCCAAAGAAAGCAATGCGAATATTTTGAAGGATTAACCAATTTTTAAAAATTAACTTTCAAAATCAAAATCAACTGCTATTGTTGTGCTAGATAACAGCAACGCCAAGGCGTAGCAAATCCCATTGAACAAATGGCTTACAACATCTAACCTGCACAAAGGGTATACACTGAGTACAGTTGGAGAAACTTGTGCATTTTATAATAACTTATTCCAAAGTTCAGTGCAAGGAATAGTCAACACGGTGTCATTTTGGATCAATATTATAATAAATGTTCAGTGTTTTTATAATTGGTGATCTTAGATTTTGGACACCTATACATTTAAAAAGGTTTGGTTCAGGACTTAATATGTTTTATTATAATAAAATTGCATTTCTTATTCTGATTAACTTTCCATTTGGATGCTGTTTAAAACTACAGAACGTATATAAAGCAGGGTCCTTCAGGATACATCTTTCACCATTATGCTAATATAACACAATTTTATTTTACATATTCATCTTAATTTAAGTAAACTGAATGAAGATTTATACCTCGGTTCTTTCATTGACATTATGTCAACAGGCTTATTTGCAATATACCTAAAACATTTTGTCATTTCATTTTCAAAAGTTTCTTCAGTTTATCAAATATTAAATGTTTGGTTGAGAACTGAACCTGGGTGAGAAAGATTTATTGTAATGAAAGTCAATCATTTATTGAAAGTTAAAATAAAAGGATGATTTTTTCAAATTGTAGTAATTTTTCAATTCAGAAGTACAATATTTAAGGAATTATTTATAACTTCTGAAAAAGAGATTACTTCAAAGGTTAATACAAAATCATAAAATATCAAGTGTACGAAGCAACCCATGCAAATTTTTGCTACATATCCAAAAAGCATTACATTGTGACATGTACAACAAATATAAGAGCATTGTTACATTAATAAATAAACCAGCATCAAAAAACATCTAAAACAAAACAATTGTAGCAGAGCTCTCCCTCAGAATTTAAGCAACTGGAAACTCCACTTACATGTAGTTAAATCTTAGAACTCAATTCAGAAAATATTGGGTATCTTAATGATTCAATTTTGGGCATTTATAAGTCAGAATTGGTAAAAAAGAACATTGCCCCAAGCTGAAAAATCTGGAGAGAAAACTGCTCAACTAAAGTACTACTATGTAAAAATATCAGGCAAAATTACAATAAAATCAAGTTTTGGACTATTCTCAACATATATGTACATGTATACAGTCAGTAAATGTACTAACATATATATGGAGACAGTTTCGTAACTTTCTTTAGTGCATAAGACTTTATAAAATAAAATAAAACGTACAAAATGTATTTTAAAATACAAAATGCATTTCAAAAATGTACTCACTCTTCTATTGATATGTGGGTTGGTATTTCGGACCATAGTCTCGCGTACTTGACAGGGGTGACAGGTTCTTGGGGGTCTCGATCTACATGCATATGGAGCATCAGTCGACAGAAAGATGCACGCAGCTCATAAGGAAGCATCTCATCAGCCATACACCTTTAACAAAGAATTATACAATCATTATATAAAATATTCATTTTACTTAATTCATTTTGAATGATGTCAATGTTTAGAAACACTTTCTTGAAAATGATGTCAATGTTTAGAAACACTTTCTTGAAATGATGTCAATGTTTAGAAACTCTTATTTGTGACCAATTACATTTCTCAGAAACTTTTACTTGAGAATGATGTCAATGTTTAGGAACTTTTACTTGAGTAATGTCAATGTTGAGAAAAACTCTTAAAAATGATGTCAATGTTTAGAAACTCTTACTTGAGGATGATGTCAATGTCCAGCTGTGTTGTCAGGTTGTTAATAGCCAAGTACTGTCTGTCTAAGCACATGTAGGAAAACAAATCAAGTTGATGCCTGGAACAAACAAAGTAGGAGATGCAAAAAGTAGCAAAAGTCATCAAATAACATCAATATCAAATAATCTTTAAAAAAAACTGTTTGACCACAAATCTTACTCATGTGCCTTGATGTGAATTATGTATTCTATTGCATTACCATTAAATAAAAAAATAAACCATAATCAATCCACATTTGGATGTACCTGTAGTAGAGGAGGATTTCCTTGTCTTCTTTTATCTTCTCTGTTGTCCCCATGGCTAACTCTCGGATACCTGGAGATCATGAATAAACATACACAAAACATCTTATCACTGATCCAGAAATAATGAAATTTAGAGATGGAATTCTATAGGGTCAATGTACAGTGTAACAGATTTTATTTGTTCTGACACTATAGATTTGATTATCTGTATATTTATATATCTGAGCCAATTCAAGGCGAAAAATAAAGGAGGAAAATATCAGTCTTGAATCTAATCTAGTTGAAGAACCAGAAGCTTCTTTCAAGTCTAATGAATGGGATAGACACCTAGGAGAGCTATTAATGTCAGCATGCTTAAAAGGATCCGTGTGATCAGTGGTAAATACATTCAATTGAGCGAGAAATTAATTACAGTCACAGCTTTGAGCTCGAATCGTCCTAAAATTAGTGATTATACCTCCAGAAAGGCACTGAACCATGTATACATTATATTTTACTACATTATAGATTACCTTTTGACTTTTTATTATGGTCCCAGAAGAGGACCACCTCCTCTTCCTCCTCAATTGTGATGATAGGTTCAACAGGGGAGTCATCTCCCTCGGGCTTCTCTAACTCCATCTCAACCTCAACCTGAGTCTTCACCAGTCTACAGAAAATAACACACATAAAATATATTCAAAGTTAGCGATATATAAAAATCACGTATTGCAGAAAATGGCAGCTCACAGTAACTAACATTAACATAATAAAAAAGCTACTTACTTTGTCTCAATGAGAATATCTGAGTTTTTCTCTGAAAGGACAGATTTGCAGATGAGCTCCTGTGTTGTTGGTATGGCAACCTGATTTGATACACACAGGTCTGCAAGGTAGTCCAAGAACCTAGAACAAGCCAAGAAAGTACAATGAGTGGGACGTTTTTCATTATTGAAATTTTTGAAGATGCATATGTATTTATTTATTTACCTGCCTATGTATGTGAATATGTAATCAAAGGTAAAAAGACCTTGACTTGCTCTCCCCACCACATACAGGTGGTTTCATAAGTATTTCTGACTTTAAGGCGAAATGAGTGAAATCTTACTTTAAAGAAAGTTTTGTTTGAAAGAAAATTATGAAATGGACAAATAACTTTGGTAAAAGAACATGAAAAAATTGTCCATCGTGGGGCATTTATGAAACCTCCCACATACCTGCTTTCTTTATTTTTTCTGACGAGACTAACGAATGTGTCAATCTCTGAGGCTGTGATGTGTTCCTCAAGCAGCTTTCTATTGTTGTGCAGTAAGGCAGTTATGGTGTCTTCAGCAAGTACATCATAACCTATCTGCTTTTGCATGAATGGGAACTGTTTGGCAATGTACTCCTGAAATAGCCACATAAGTGGATGATTTTTTTTTATCTCATTAGACTATTTCTTTACTTTGAAAGAAATATACATGTACAAAGAAAAGACAAAATGTTGTTTTTACTACATTTTTTTAGTTTTTTATATTTTTCACTAATATTTCCAAAGAGTCAATTTTAAATTTCATTATTCTACTTATTAAATCTTCACTCAATGATGAGACGGGTATCTGTCTCATCGTTGAGTAAATAAAATATTCATAATTGCTTCCCTAAATAAAAAATATTCACTTGGCTCAATAATTCATCATTATCACAGACTATGAATGCAACAAGGCATTAACATGCAAAATGTCACCATCTGTATTTGATATAGAACCCAACCACCGAACAGCATCAATAACAGTTCTTTTATGATTCACTCATACCTGATTTTTCCTGTAACTTTGCTGAGAAAGTTTGAGAATTCTGTAACAGAGTCGGCAGATTTGTCTGAATGGAGCATGACGTTGATCCAGTAGTTCATCCATCTGTAGCATAGGACCCTCTCCATTGTCTTGAAATGGGGCCTGTAGGATCTTGAACACCTGAGAGAAGAATTTGCATTTTGATATGCTTATTCTTTTAACAAAAATTTATTCTCAAATAAACCCCTGAATCCAACCGTTTCAACTTAATCTAGCCATTCATATTTCTGACATTATTGAAAAAGCCTTCACCATGAAGTAGTGTCAAAATATCTCGGCTATATTCAAACATCAATATACTTGTATATTAATAATGTCATGGGGTACACAATAAAGGTGGGACCTATACCTTCAAAAACTGTTTCAAAACACCAGCTCAAATATCATTATACAAGTTGACCTATTTGAAGATCTGGTTGGAAATTCTTTGTTTCAATTGCATCTGATGTTAAGGCTTATATTTAGCCTCATTTAGACAGCCAATGTAATGTAAATGGTGGATGATCACAAACTACCCTTTTCAATATTTAATTTCACTTCTTCAAAAGAGAACTTCATCGACACTCTATGAATAAGAGATAATACTTTGATCAAGCATTGCCCAATCAGATTAAGATAATTCAAATTTAGCTACACAATAAGAATATCTACTTTTGTTATCATCAAAAATGTAAAATCAATTTTAGTCAGAGGCTATGATTATTACTAGCCTTCCGGCTTCAGGGTGACTCTTAACCTACCTGCTTGAGGATGTTCTGTTCTCTGAGAAGTTTTTGGCGTTCCCTGTCAGGTTTGGTGACGACAAGATCTAGAGACTCACTACTGTTACTATCCTTGTCCGCAACAAAGAATATCAGATCTGAACATAGCTGGGTAACGAACCTGAAATGAACATTTTGAATTTCTAGATATACGAATAGGGAAAATCAACATTTTAATATATTTATTTCAAATATAAATCCTTTCCAGATAACAAGAGGCATATAAAGCAAACTGAAAAGATTCTTTACAATTTTGGCCATCTCTTACAAAGTTCCCTTATGGCTATTCCATAAAAAATTTTCAAGTGATTGTCAAACTTCCTTTCAGTATATATAATACAATACAGGGTTCCCACTAGGCTTTTAGACTCCGGAGATTCTCCAGAGTCTAATGTCTTAAAACCCTCTTGCTCCAGAGTCTAATAGTGTTTTTCCGGAGTCTAATTTTACATTTTTGTCACATTATTTGCGGTAAAACTCTTGAGAAAATACATAAAACTGGATACAAACAAGGAATAGGAAGTCAGAAACCTTTTAGAAATAAACATTGGGATTAAAATAGCAAGATAATCTTAAGAAGTATGTTGAAAAGTATACTAATAGGATATTTCTGATCTCACATGGGGAGAAGTAGTAAAAATCCGAGGTCTAAAAATTTCCTGGTGAGAACCCTGCAATATGTATGAAAAGCATTCCCATACCTCCGCTCATTTTGTGTTATTGAACTTTTTTCTAATTTGGTGGACACTGATGCGAGAACTTTGCTGGCATCATTAGCAAAGTCTAGATCTCTTACTTCCTGCGGGGAAACTGGGACTATTGCAAAAGCCTCTTTGTCTTCCTTGATCTGAGCACAACCAACCTATAAGGATAAAACAGGGACATAATAACAAAGTGGAAAGAAAAATAGACTGAATGCAAGTAGAAATAATATTGATTAAAATTTGATTGATGTCCTATTTGAAAGCTACATGTAAAACAACATCAATAAATGTGGTTAAAAAATCATTTATCAACTTTGAAAATTTAAATTGAGAATTAGTCACCTAGTGGTGAAACTGGTAACTATATACTGGCATCTGGGTTATTAAACAACCAGTTTTTCACAATTTGAAATTTTCCAAAATTTTTGCAATAAAATCAACAAGGATACACTGTAAATGAGAGTGATACCTACCTTGGCCATTATTGGTTTGTCTTTGTCCCTGTCTATGGGTATTGAGGTACTGTGGCACCACGTGTTTGTACACAGGTGACGTAATCGCACGTACGATGATCTGAAATTACATCAGGAATTATAAAGCAAAACGTATATGGATAACATTCAACAAGTTATAAGCTGAGAAATGACCAACTGAATATATTTCGCTAAAGTTCAGGGGTGAAAATTGTCAAATGGCACAACTTTGGCCAATCGGTGAATGAGTTTAATTCTCCTTGATCCATTCTCCAACAACTGCGATTTTCCTTGATAACTTAATGTGTCAAATATGTCAAAATATTCCAATTTACTAATTTTTCTAATTCTCAAGACTAGGGAGATAAATACATGAATACTTTCTTACCTTGGCACAAAGGAATCCCCACGTATCATAGTGGTTGGATCAAGTTCAAATATTGAAGCTATATCGTGGCCATGTGGAACTGAGACTAAACTATAAACTTGAGCATTAATATTTCCACGTAGTTTCGCACGCATGGAGTCTGGCGTTGCATCTGAGTCAACCTAGAATTAAATACAATAGTATAGGAATGTATGGAAGGCCAGGTGAATGTTTATCTCAAAGTATGTATGCCAACATGGTACAATGTTACCAGTTTACAAGGGAATTTGGTCTGTGTGGGTATAAAAGGGACCATCAAAGCATGAACAGAATCAATCTGATCTTCATATTTCGATGATTTGGATGACTATCTACACTGAATACATATTGTACTAAATAATGGTTATGTGCTGGGAGGTTTTGGATATGGGGTTTATCCAGAGGGAGATATGCATATCTACCTGAGGGACAGTAGGGACCGAAGGTAGATGTGCATATCTCACGAGGGACGAACCCAATATCCAAACCGACTGTACATAACTGGCATAGGATAAAATATGTTATTCATTTTGCACTGGACCCTTTTGCAATAATAAAATCTCAAAGTATATTACCTCTGCAGCCAAATATTGGCCAGTTGCAAGATGTTTAAATCTAAAGAGGCTGTTCCAATGACCTGCCCCACCCCTACAAGGGTCATGTTGCACCACCTGAAAATACAAACACGATCGAATAACACAACAAATAAATAGTAATAAACAGGAATAATTTTTAAAGTAACTATATACTATGCTGCCCATGAAATTTAGCATTAGGCTTTACATTATTTTGGAACATGGTACTTGGGCAGCTATCCAACGAATTCACTTCTTCAAGAATACACCTGAAAATCCAAAGCCTCACTTAGGTTAATTATATTGGTGGCTATTCTCAAAAATATTGTGAATAAAGAAAAAGAATTCAATTGTCTCAGGACTGTTTATTAAAAAAAATATTGTCATGGTGAGATTGTCAGCGACAATTGAAAATCATAAGAATTACTTTATCTTAGAAATGGCATCAAAACACTGATTCTTCAAGAACATTAACACAAGGATTGTCAAATAATCAAAAACAAAAATGATGATACATACCTCAATTTCCCATAATGCTTTGGAACTAGTTGCAGCAGTTGCAGACGTCCTACCAGTAGTCCGGAGGAACACATATTGTTTTTTCTTGTACTCATCACCAGTGAGAAATTTTTCCTGTTCTGCGTGAAAAAGACGGACAACATCTCCCTGGAAAGCATCGGTAAATTTTTCTGAATAGATTAAAGAATAAAAAATATATGAAAAACAATATCATAGAATGCAAAAGTGAAAAATGTTCAAATTCATGAAAAATGCAAGAAAGATTTGGAAACGATAAATAATATGGATGAAGTACAGTGGTCTGTCTGTCCTTTATTCAGTCAAAACTATTTATGCTATCTCCTTCTTGACCTCTAAACTGAAGGTCACAAAACATCAATAAAATAAGGTCAAATCATATGGAACATTTTCATTCAATATTCAAACCTACAGAAAATTCATATTTTTATCAATTAATTAATCAATCAAAGAATCAACATTTTAATCAGATCAACTATGAATTTTGAATAGGAGTTTTGCTTTTTAAATATATTATTTTATCAAAGATAGGTCACACTGACCTCTATTGTGACCTCTATGTATTTATCCAATAGTTTCTGAATATGCACAAATTAGTTTGAGCATAGTTCCAGAATCTACATCAGAGAGAAACTCAAGATTAATTCATCTGATCAACAATCAATCTAAATATAACTAATCTAAGCAGCTCAAGATTTTGATTGACAGCTCTGTTTTTGCACCTTCCATATTTGGGAGTGAAATTGATGTCCTGTGTTAAAAATCCAAGGTCAAGCTGATCTGGCCACTCTTTAAGACATTTCAAAATTCTGAATTTTGACTAAAATGGATAGATTCATTCTTTATTTTCTCTGATAAAACATAATTATAGATAAATTGACCTTTCAAACCATTATTGGCTATTTAATATCAGTTCATTTGAAAAGTTTAACCATAATATTTTTCATTTGTAAAAAGGTTTTTGTAGTATTCTGTAGGACTATTTTGTCAAAATATTTTTTTGAAATCAGATCTAAGACTCATGAAGAACTATGCGAATAATACTAAAATCATTCATGTATGTGTCTACACTATAGACTATATAGTAATGAACCATTTCTAACCTAAAAGACAAAGGCTTGAAAAATACAGGGTGTTAAAAGTATTCATAAAATACTTACTCCTTTCAAAATGTCCTCTTGATTTTCTCGAAACTCCATAAATAATATGATCTTCCAGCTTGTGTTGCAGTTTACAGAGTTTACCTAGAAAGGAAATATATTTCATGTGTTAAATGATGAGATTCAAAAGTCCAGGTTGAATTAACATTTTTCTCAAGTATTAAAGGAATGCCTTCATTGCTTTGTACACCAGTACACATAGTATGTTCTTGCTCACTAGTGCGCTACACAATAGCGTACACTACACTCTCAGATATGGCAAGCCAACAAAAATTAATGAAATAAAAATTGCACCATTCCTTTGGATCACACTGTTTTTAAAAGTAGGTCAAAATGCAAAAGTAGGTCAAATTACAAATAAGTAAGATAACAGAATTTTTTCATAATTTTTGCAAAATATAAAGAGTGCCCAGAAAAGTATATAAAACATTGGGAGCTAAAACTGAAACAGTGATACTTCTACAAACCAACTGCAACTGATTTGAAAACACTATAAATGATACAGATTTGTACTTGAAATAATGTGATATTTGGAGACAAAAAGCAGATTTCTTCAAAATAAGACAAAAGTCAGCATCAGAATCACCAATAAACACTCCTATAAAATGGATATGAGCATAAATTCTTCAGACAATAGGCAGATCATTACTGGATAGGAAATTTTAGCTGGATAGTTAATAAAAATAGTACAGAACAAAGGTAGCTAGAAGAAACCGTATTATCTCAAGAAAATTATTAATATCAGGTTCTGGTATCACATTCCAATAATAATATGATTACAGAATTAAACATAGAGCTAAGGTAGACCTATTGGAAACCTTTGACAGATAAATTGTAAAAGATGCATGTCAATTGGCTATTATTATACACTCTTACCACCCACCTTAAAGTTTTACAGTATATATCTATATGAGAGACACTTATTCTTCATCTAAAAATTAGTTTAAATCATATGGTCTTTTAAATATACATGTATATCAATCAGAGGTGTGTAGGTATTTTTCAGTATGTGTAAATCGTTTCTAGGTCCTACAAATTCAAAATGTTGGGAATACATGTGGTGTAGTCTATTATGAAAGCTATCTTATGAAAGCAGGGTTGCAATATTTGTAAGCATTTGGGTATTGTGAAGCAATTTGGGAAGCTTTTGGGATTTGGTAAGCATATGGATTACAATATGCACATTTTATGTTCTAATAAGCATTTGAGGAGCATGTATTTCTATTAAGCAATTGGGAGCATGTATTTGAATCTAATATTTGGGGATATTAATTTTGGAATAATGAATGATAAGCATTTGAACATTCTCTGTAAATGTTGTTAATTAGTATTCAATATATGATCAGTCTAACTATGTCAGTTGATATTACATGGCATTAACATGCAAAATGTCACCACCTGCCATTTGTTACAGGCTCCGACCACAAAACACTGTTACAGACGCTGAACACTGTTACAAATGCCAAACACCAACCACCAAATGCCATCCACAAAAAATCTGTAGCATATTAAAAGCTGTTAGCATTTGGGAGGTTGCTAAACAGAGTAACATATTTGTATATAACATTCTCTCCCAGGCATCTTAAATTACAAGCATTATATATTATTACAGTTCAGGTAACTATTCAGGTAACAGAGTAGTTTAATAATAATTTCGGAATAGAAGCGTGTGCATGAGGAATATTGGTTTGACGAGTATGTGCATATCTGTCATTTACCATGGCAACAGAATGTATGTTGTTATTCATGAATTCTATTTTGTACTTTATAACAGTGATCCTATTTGTGTGTCTTGCGTAATCGTTGAAAAAGAGGTTTACTTTGGTTCCCACACACGTAACAATTACAAAAAATACTTTATACAGTCTTTGTGGGGTCCCCTTTTTATATTTAGCTTTCTCTTCAAGTGGCAATTACACCTACGGCTAAAGGAGGATTGGCTCCCAGGGTTCCAACTCGATATTTTTAATCTCCAAGCAATATGCCTGACTATAAATTCATAATCAGCGATCTAAAAGATTTGAACTAATATCTCGATCATTTCTTATGTTTTGATTTTTTTTGTTTGGAAATAAAACCAAAACTTGTGATTCAAATTCTGCTGTGAAAAAATGCAGCTGTTTGATTTCGAATTTTGTAATCACAAAGTGACTCCATATATGGCAGAATATCAAGAAGAAACCATGTGATCTAATCCTCCTTGCCTACAGCTCAACCTTCAATAATATTACATAAAGTGGTACTTGGCCTTGTAATGTAACATGAGAGAAAAATAAAGAAACAGTTTTTCGGATCATTTGTTTTAGTATTGAAACATCTACTTGACTTGATTGATTAAAAGTGTTTACAGTGTATATATTGTTTATACATATATCCTTAATTTTGTACATGTTATAAAACAGTATATCAGAAATTTATGGGTCAAGCCCTTGATTTGCAAAAGGAAAGTACAGTATTTAACAAGATTATGGAGACCACTAAAAAGTTAATTTATTTATGATTCTAACCTCAGTATTGGTCATATACTGGTCAACCTTTGAAGGTTTCATTTGCCCCGAATGACACTGAGATTAAAAAATTTAATCAGTATTTCAATTTATAACCAAATTACTTTCAACCAAAGAATCTGACTCTAACAGTTGATGCATAATTTGAACACATTTTCTGAATGGTCTGCATATAGCGGTGTAATTGCCACATTGTTTAACCTGTCATTTTCTACAGCGAGTTCCATGCGTGCTCTTATGTATGCGGTGCTTTAAACAAAGCCCTTACCTGTCCCCAAAATGTAAAAGCATCATCTAGACTGGATATCAACTACAAATCAAGCACTATTGGATTTACAAAGCTGATAGATAGAAAAATACTGGAGTAGTCTAAAGCCCCCTCACATATAACAAATCCAGTACAGTCTTGCGAATAGGACTTGAGTAAAAGTCGCTTCCATAAGTGTATGTACGCTGTACATCGTCGGGGTGTTCGTATGTGTAAGTATCCCTTTGGAAAGCTGTCACGGCTTCAGGAGCATGCGCAAAGATGCAATTTGGTTCACATGTCTAAGTGCCCAATTGCCAGAATTGACAATTTATCCAATTTGCAAGACTGCATTTAGTGGATTTGTTCATATGTGAAGGGGGCTTAAAGCTTTTTATATACAATATGGCTTAATTTGGAAACAGAATTAGAAAAATATGGAAAAAGAATAGGACAAATGATCGCACATATGCAGGCTGAATTAGACTACAACAGGAAGAAGAACCCTATGGTTAATAACAGGTATGAGTCAGTAACTGGACTATTAAAGTACAACTGTATTTCTACAATATTTAATTGACTACACAAATCAGAAACTCTATGAATCATCCATCCTATTATGAAGTAAATAGTAGGCATTCTGCTGTAAATAACAAGGAATATGGAACGTCATTGTATTTCATACCTACTGAGGTTCAAGGTACATAACGGGGAGGAATATATAGTGTATCTAGGGAGCGATCACCAAGGTCCCTGCCATCCCTTGGGGGTACCAATATTTCCCTTGGAACAAACCCTGTATCTAAAACCTCCCAGTACATAACCCTTACATATCTGTTAAGATGACACCATTATTTATATACAATGGATTCTATATGACGGAACTTCTTTGTATACAATGGATTTTTATATATGATGGAGCTTCTTTATGTACAATGGAGCTTCTTTAAATATAATGGAGCTTTATATATGATGGAGCTTCTTTATATACAATGGAGCTGTGTCTCGTCTCTCTTTCATGATAGGCTCTCGTGTCATCTCTACAGGCCTGTCAACTGTCCCACAATTTGGGTATTTGTCACGCATTTGCTGAAGAATTTGAAGTCACGCCAGTTATTTTTGCGTGACAGAAAATGTCACGCAAATACGCATTTTACCTGGTAATTGTCAAGCAAAAATATTTCTGTAGAAAACTTTCTAAAAAAGTTTGTCTACACAGCAAAAATACGAACGCTGAAAAAAACGTACGCATTTCGATCGGACTTTTGATGCGAATCACGTATATGTCACGCATTCCGTTCGAAATTATTTGTACCTCCCCCCCCGTTGCTGGATGTTTTAAACGCGAGCGTAGCGAGCGCGAAAAATTTGAGGTGTTCAAAATTTGGCAAGATGTAATAAAATTTAAACCAAGGTTTTCAAAATTTGGATCAAGGTGTTCAGATTTGGACCAAGGTGTCCACATTTAGAGGGGAGGTGTTCAACATTTCCAAGTCACTCATGTTAGGTGTTCCCAAGTTGACAGGCCTGTCTCTAGTCTTCTGATCAGTGATCTTTGATCAGCATAGAATGTACAAGGCCTGGCTAAAGTATTGAGTAAAATCCCAAAACAGTCTGTGCAGGGCATCATCACATAGTATATTTATCTGAAGTCCTGGAACTCAATTCTACTGACATTGATACAAACACTTAAATTATTTCATTAATCTTGTATCTTCTCTCCTTCGAGAAGATCATTTTCATTCCACTTTAACATTCATCATATCAAAAAGGAATGATTGAGAACCAAGGTCTTAGTTCAACCACCAAAGATAATTTCAATTCCGAAAACTGTCAATTCATATAAAAAGAATGAATTAAAATCGGCCCCAACTGAAAACTGCCATGTAAGATTAGATTGATCTTAGAGTTTCAATCATCAGTGATAACCTTTGATGAATAGCTATTCGACCAGGCTTGATCTATCTGACTGAACCAGGTTATAGCAATCAATAAGGCTTTGAAGAAATCTTTTGGCACCTCATAGAATTGGCTCAAGTAGATCATCTACTAGAGTGAGGTATGAGCAAAGATCATTGATGGCCTCTTAGGATTAATTCCTCACTTGATTTGTTTGTTTGTACATCATCTATGGTTTCCAATAAATTCAATATGTCTTGTTATTATGTATTGAGTCTTACCTATTTAAATCAAAATATTTAAAACATCACTTGGCTGTTTGTTTTTGGTAGAACATTCATGGTTTCAGATGAGTTCATTTCGATTTATTACATAAGTCTTACATTTTGCCTATTAAATCAAAAGAATTGAAACCTCTCTTGGCTATTTGTATGTTTGAAGATCATTCATGGTTTCAAATACCCTGCACGCAGTCTAGTTTATAAACGACACTCTGCCCAGTATAGACTATATTACAGTTTTAACAGCCCCACCCCAAAGATTGGTGCCTGTTATAGCCAGGGTAATAAATCATTTCAAATCTACCACGCTGACCCTTTTTTCATAAAGTTGTTGGTTTTTTCTTACTTGCACAAATCAATGACATGATAAAAACAATATAAAACTCATTCCTCATTCGAAATTTTTAGTATTTTGCATCATGATGAATTCAATAAAACACAAAATGCTAAGGATCAAAATTATAATCAAAAGGAGAAGTGATTAATAAACCTGTATGGAAAAGCCCAGAAAACATGTACTTTACTAAGTTGCCATTCCTGTACCCAACCTTGGGACATAGAAACATAAGGAAAAAAGAGATAACTGGTTTATAAATGAATTAAGAGGTTATCAACATCTGGGGCACTTCTTAAGGCTATGTGTTAGACTGTGCTGACATTGAAAATACATGAATACTTAATGGCTACAGTTTAAAGCACAGTCCTCAGAAAATGCCAGTTGGGTTTAGCTCATGTATTTGAATTGAGAGCCATTTCTTGGTGCTGCTCACTAGACTGGGTACCAAAAACCAGTTATTGAGAATTGTTTACCAGTGAGCTACACCTGCGTAGAACTAGCAGGTTGTACATATTGAGGTAATGTAACCCTGGTAACACATTGTTGTGCTTACAGCTAGTTAGGACCTCCCTGGGTAAGTGGAAAAACAAACCATATGGTACGCTATCAATATGCTCATCTCACCTGTCAGCTATATGGAACATAATAGAGAGGTTTGGCACAATGTTTTTGCCTCAATGTATCTAAAATCTGTAATGCATTCACCAGATTTATGCGTAGTAGTTCAAATAAAATGAGATGCTGTTGTAGATACATTTTAGCTATAACATATTGTGTGAAACCGCTCTAATGCATGGCTTTCCACATTTTAAAGGTGAAATACAAATCTGGAAAACACCCCAAGTGATATTTAAATTAGATTTATTTTGAATTAATTCAAGAAATATTTGACCAATCAACATTGTGAGATATAAAAAAGTAAACATAAATATTGAAATGTTGAAGTACATGACTAAGTCTTTGAATGTTGTATTAATATGTCAACTGACTCAAACATGCTTTTTTAATATCGTATGTCATTTGTCACATAATTGAGATAAAAAGTGTCTTAAATGTACGCATTCCTAACAAGCAAGGTGACAACTTGATGACAAGCCTTATTAATATGTATAAAAAATATAAATTGATGCTTTTATACAGTATGTACATGTACTTAAAAAGAAGTAGACCTAGTTACTTTAGATGTAAACATTTTGGAAAATTGTACTTGCGATATTTTTTGAAAAACTGTTTGAAAGTATAAAGAACAGTTCAGTGTGCAGAACAGGGAGCGGTATGCACATCGATATGACATCAGCATTTTCACTATACAGCGAAACAATGCAGAAAATAATCAAGAGTAGCTAATTCTGCCAACGGCAAATTCTACAAACACTGGTAAAGCAGGAGATAATTTCTGCCAATGTGTCCTACTCTGAGGTAAAGCAAGGTTGAAAAATACACAAGCAAGATATAAATCTTATATTGATGGGTTACTGGAGGATAGCCTCATACATTTAAATGATACTAAACCTTGAAGCAATGGTCAGAGGTTATTACAGACTGCAGTTGAAAGCAGCAGTGCTTATAGGGAGAATTCCGGGGACATGGTCTCAAGCGTGAGATGTTAACACCAATGTAGGTTGGTATCTGGAATCTGTGTATTTGCATATGGGTTCATATCGTCCATTAGAAAGTTTTTTTATAAACATACATCTACTTGTCAACCAATCGTATCATTGCCATTCCTTCTAGAATTATCTATAATTATTGATCAAATCAAATAAATTCAAAATTCCAAAAAATACTAAAATTTGCATTCCAAATGCAAAAGAGTTTGTGTAAAAGCAAGAAAAGAAAATTCTAATTTAAAGAAAGAAAAAAATTGAAATATAAAAAAACATATATAAAATTAACCTCTTTGCATCCGGGATTGTCAACCAGGTCATAGTTGCTTGCATGAAGGGGCTGGCCAGCATTGACAGGGTTAAGGACCACCTTGTCACCAACAACCACCTGAAAAATGCAGTGAAAAACATTCAACATAGACATTCTTACTTTTCTATCAAGTTATCCAATTTTAAATTATATACCGGGCATTTCAGTTCTAAGCTTGAAAAAATGCCCGATGTGTTTTACGGATTGTATGGAGGATAAAGCTTTTGGTCCATTGCAAAAGTAGAAATATTTGAATTTTACTCTTCTCTGTCTGATATTTGAACAGGAGAAATAATTTCAGGAACTACAGTTTTCACTGAAACAATGCCAAACAATGTACAAAATGCCAGATTTGAAATAACAATTCAGTGAGATTCTTTACAATAAATTGGATATTTTTGTAGTGATCTAAACAGAATTTAGGCATTGGGACCCAGTAGTAAGAAATAAGCAACATAACATGACAAATTAGGATTGGAAATTGCAAATTGATTGGAGTGCAAATTGGAACTGGATTTGTCAAAATTTATGAGGATGAGTTTGCGAAAAAAATCCATGGAGTCAGAGATCACAGATTTGGATAACAAGTTACTTCAAAGAAGAGATTCATACAAAACTTACATTATCGCCAGCAATTCGTAGCTTATAGAAGGGTTGGATGTAGAACCAAGAGCCCTCATTGCCAGCAGTGTCTAACGTGACTCTCATAGCATTTTTCTCTAAAAGTGCAGGTAGTCGCTTGTTCACAGTCAGGTACTTGTTGCTTTTAAGGTGAAGCAACTGGAAATAGAAATAATGAAATAATCAGATTTGGACAACATTTTGCATTTTCTTGATAATCATATAATCTAATTTCTGGTATTGTTTAATTCTGAGTTTTAGTTATTCAACAATCATTTAAACATTTCAAGACTGAATTCAACTATTCCTATTCTGTTCTATTCTAAGATGTATGAAGTCTATACCTCAGGAAGAATATATTGCAATTCAGAGTTAGAAAATGGGCCAAAGGGGAATTTACTGGAACCAGCTAGACTTTTCAATGCTTACCTGAACCACGCTACCGTATTGCACAACCCCACCAAGAAGTTTCTTGTTCTCAGTTTCATTCTGCTTCTTTTCCAGCTCAGCAGCATGCTGTAAGTACATAAAATAAAAAGAAATTACTTCCCATGTTGTTCATTTAGTTTGATCCTTCTTGGAACATCACATTACTTATAACCCACAACAGTGTTCCAGTAGCACATCACATTACTTATAACCCACAACAGTGTTCCAGTAATGCTAATCAAGCAAATCTGTCAACCAGTATTTGATGGATGTCAGGATAGATAGACAAAACACTTCTCTAATATCCCTACATGTGGAATAATCAATTTAAGACATTAAGGCTTTAGTATGATAAAATGTAACAACCGGGTAAGTTGTTACAAATGGTTATTAAAGTGTAACAATTTGTCACAGATACCAACCACCAATTGGTTTTATAGATATGATACCCAAAATATAAGGTCCTTGAAAAAGCAATGACCAGATGAAAAGGAGGGAAAACCCCATGATTCAATTGATGACATACGATTTCCTCCTTCGAGCACCTCTTTTTGTTGAAAACGTACCCTCCATCTTGGTTTTCAAAGTTTTAAAAATGACCTAATTTTAAACCAATCAACGATCGACTCGCTAAACCAATCAGCGACGATGTCATCTCAATACAGATTTACATTATAAGCGTATGTCATCTTTGAACCCTGGGGTTTCTCCCCCTCTTGACCAGATGTGATACGTTACGATATCTATCATACTCAACTTGATTAGTTTTTGGATTTTCTCCATGACAAGGTTGAATTATCAGGTGAACGAACATTGAAGGACCAAGTTCTCTCCCCTGATATAAAATTAATTACAATTCCTATTACGAGGTGATGTTCTAGACACAATGATGACATTTTTCTAATTAAAACTAGCTTTGAAGTCAAAGCACATATTAATATCCAATTTGTCATTGCAGTGTGATCTAATAAAGATAGATCTACACAGTTTCTGACACTTCTATAATAACATTTGCAGAAAATGTGTGTATAAGATACCAATTTAGCTTATTAAACTTAACAATCATTCAAAGTCAGTATCTAGTACACAAGACGTGTTAAGTATAAGGCATTCACCTGATTTGAAACATATTACACAGATCAGACCTCCAACATTAATAATTGTCGAACTGTTTCCCATATATATCGGTGTACCATTTGTAAATCTACATGAGGGAAATGAGGTAATAGGTCTCATGTGTTGTTGTGGAGAATCCTGCATATAGCCCCATAAAGAAGGCAATTGGCCAATCTTAATGAATAGCTTGGTTGCGATCTATTTGAGGCATTTCTTGGGGCTGTATGTGAGACTGTATAAGGCAACAACCCTTGAGTTGACTGAATGATGCAGTATATGAATGGATGAATGGTCTTGTTCACTTTAATCATGTCATCTTTGTTAATTGTTGATATCATAGTTGATGACACTGTTATTGTTGTTGATATAGTCAAAACTATCATCGAAGTCATTGCCATTAATAAGGAGGGGGAACTAAAGGCAGACTATGATGTGAGAAATAACACAAACCGATTACTTAAGACAATGTTGGAATAGGTTCATCTCCAATCAAAGCTCAAAACCTTCCTCAAACCAGCCATGTTATGCAAGGACTATCAGACAGTTTTTTTCAAAGGGCACAATGACTTTTCCTTCAGCAATGAATTTGAGGATTTCTTTCACAAAAGGCTAACTTAGGTCTTCAATGTCTACTGGTCAACCCTAGGCCTTTGCTATGTTTTATCCTATTATGTTGATGTGAATGGATGAAGCATTTTATTCAAGATTCTCTCATCACAATTGGCATCCCAAGAGACAAACAAATCAAAAAGCAAGTCAACCTTAAAGGAGATTACGCGCAAAATATGAGACACGGGACGCAATTATTGACATTTTGTAAAACATATCACATACAAGCTTTCAACTAAAATGTGAGGGATTAACAGCATGGGTTTTGTCTATAGATAACATGGTTATAACGACCTAAACTATCTCACAAAGGAAATATCTCAGGATGGAACTTCATGATTTCTAAGATGTTCAAGAGCAGATTCTTGATACTGGAAAGGTCTACAAGAGCAATGGCTCAATAAAGATTGATATGCTGTCTAAATTGATCTTGTAATCCGACCAGACCTTCTGAATCCATACCGTTCAATTCAACCAGATTTGATAATAAAACATTTCTCTTGTATTGAGATCTGAAGCGGATAAATTAATTTGATAAGAAACTCGATTCTCAACAGGAGCTGTAGGGATGGTTAAGGGATGGTGTCTAACTATCAGCAGTTGTTGAATGACAGATTAGTTTCTATAACATGGAAGGGGTAAATGATGGTTTCGTTATCTTTTTTAATTCAGTAAAACCTGTATATAGTGAACATCTAAGGAGCCACAAAAAGTGTTCACTGTAGGCAGTTGTTCATTACAGAGAGGTTTTTTTATACAGGAGTCAATGTAAAATATGCCTTGAAGTTGTGTTCACTAAACACAAGTGTTCACTAGAGAGGCGTTCACTAAGACAGGTTTAATTGTATTCAAACGAAAAACAAATCAACATTTTAAAATTTCAATAGATGAGAAGGGGTGGGGGGGTCAAACCATAATGAAATCCACGATTATTGATAATTGGACAACATCCCTTAGTGTAAATAACCTGGCAATAAAAAGGCTATCATAAAAAACAAGCTAAAATTAACTGTTAAGTTACTTAAAAACTACTTAACTGAAGGCACGAGGGGATAAGATAATCAATTTAGCTTCTTGCTCTTAATATAAGAGAGACAAGAGAACAAATCCTCTTCAGAGTGTTTACAAAACTTATTTTATCCACGTTATTCTCAACTTGTTTTGAACATTTAATGCTAAATTTATCTTATACTTCTAGAAATTCCATTCAGATTTGACCAAATTAAAAAGTCTGAATTCTTAATAACTAGGAAACTTATTTGTCTTGCAGTTGGACTTTCCTCTTCTCTCACTCATTGGCATAAAAAGAGTGGGGGTGGGGTGGGGAGCGGGTAACGAGTCAATTAAAGGCAAGTAACATATTGAACCTCTATTAAGTTTGATGATATTCTGATTATATCCACATGCTGTTTTTCTGACAGATAAAAATTATCGACACAAATCTGTTGAATAACCTTCACATTTTGATTTTCTAACTATGTTCAACATCATTATACACATTCCTCCAAACACAAGAGCTCCAGACATCATCTAGTAACTTTGGATTATGAGGCATTATACACATAGCCTGGAATATAGAGCCATTGACAACAATATGAAAATTTCAAAAAATGTGTTCTGATTTATCGGTCTCTGTTAATCTTAAGCTTGTGATGGATAGAGTAGACTGTGGATTCCATGATAAAAGAAATGTATTAATATATTTTTGAATCAAGTAAGTATGTGCACTTTTCTTGCACCTTTAACGTATAAGCTTTAAGATTGGCATCATGGGAAAATAGGTGTATGAGTAGAAATCGACATATTTAATTTGAATTTTACATTTTTTTCTAGAATTACCTCATTAATTGCGTCATACATGGCAAACGCCTTGGAATCTTATTAATAAACATTTCCACTTGAACTTATAGGTAGAGTGATCACTTAACTCTAAACCTATATCACTTTGGCCCATAAACATTAACTCAATCAGCTAGGGGCATCAGATTAACTGAATACACAGTTTGATCCAGGTGTAAAAAACAAATTGAGCAGCACTTTGAGAAAGTTAAGGTATTGCTAACACCTATGTTTATAGATAGTTGAGATATGAAGTGGTTATCTATTTGTTGTTGTAACATCAGATATGAGGTTTGGCTACTGCCGATGACCTCTAGCCTGGTAGCAATTGATCCCAATACAAGTTGCCAATATAAATTACATTGCAAATCAGCAATACCGAATCAGCAAATTACCTTACAAATCAGCAATACCGAATCAGCAAATCACCTTACAAATCAGCAAATTACATAACAAATCAGCAATACAGAATCAGCAAATTACCTTACAAATCAGCAAATTATATAACAAATCAGCAATTACCTTACAAATCAGCAAATTATCTTACAAATCAGCAAATTACCTAACCAATCAGCAAATGACATAACAAATCAGCAAATTACCTTACAAATTAGCAAATTATCTTACAAATCAGCAATTTACCTTACAAATCAGCCAATTACCTTACAAATCAGCAAATTATCTTACAAATCAGCAAATTACCTTACCAATCAGCAAATGACGTAACAAATCAGCAATACCAAATCAGCAAATTACCTTACAAGTCAGCAATACCGCATCAGCAAATTACCTTACAAATCAGCAAATTACATAACAAATCAGCAATACCAAATCAGCAAATTACCATGGCAACAGAGTTCCAGAAAGATATGGAGTAAAGAATGTTAAGGTGTTCCCTGAATATGTTGAAATGTACATGAATTCAAGCTTCATCAAAACAAGACTTGAACCTATCCTCATAGTGATTTGGTGTAAGAATTGATGAAACATGTATGTAAAATACAAATTTTCATGCAGCATAAAAATGGTTTGTCTTTAGTCGTGTAATTTAGTATAATCATGCATGGTCTCACTATTTAATAACTGATTGATATGTTTGTAAATATTTAAGACCACTAAAGAAATGTATACTAGCCACAAATTCTAATCAGGCTCTACTGTTTACTTATCAAAATTCCTAACTAACCAGGTATAAAATGAGGCAGGGACATTGTGACATGGAAACAAATAAAACTCTGTATTCTTCGCAGAATTCTTTCAACAGGGTGGAGTAGTCTCATTTTTCCATCTCTGATATCTAAAACTTGTCAAAAATTCCGATTAGTCATACCTTTAGGCTTAGAGGCTGGTAATTTCTAGATAATGCTGAATCAAACTCTACAAGGCATTAAAATGCAACATGTCACCACCTGCCATTTCTTACAGACACCAACCACTGCACACTGAATGCTGACAACCAACCACCATCCACAAAAAGTTGGAGACTATAACGATATGTCACCACCACAAGGTGGTGACATAAA